CAATATTGTCATACATTCTTGGACAGTGGAGTAATAATAATCACTGTAGTTTCCTTTTGAGCTCCTCTGAAGTCATTTCAGGCCTTTACAGTTCTGTTAACAGGCAGTGGGACATGAAAAGGGGGAAATTCCGGGGCTTGTGGGTTGTCTTGCTTATAAACATCTCTCTGGTGAGGTAATAAATTGAAACGGTGCTCTAGAGAGCATCATGAATCTCTGTGTGTGAACTCAGCTCTAAAGGTTAATTGTGCGTTTTGTGGACTTCTTAAAAAATGAGGCAAAGTTGCTTTCTCTGAGTTTGGGTTTTTTAGTTAAATGTAAATTCTTCTTTATTTTTAATGTTTACGGTTATGGTTTCCAGGTTAAAAGCTAAAGTGTGATTTATGAAGGACTAGTGCCACTGAACGGCAACAGTCGGGTTATGGAAGAAAAATCCCATTAATTTTCTCCATAGGGTAATTAATATTTAATGATAAATTATAGACCGTTAAAGACAGACCTATGACCAACGAGGTTGTTAATTGATGGTATATACTTTTGTTTAGACCATCAGCCTACATTATTTCAACTTTTTAAAATAATTGTTTAACAGTGACATTCTTGGTGAAAAACTACATTAAGTCAAGTCAAGTCACCTTTATTTATATAGCGCTTTTTACAATACAGATTGTATCAAAGCGCTTCACAGTGATAACATGAAAACAATATAACAAAGTTTGTTTCTAAAAGAAATTGCGTCAACGTCCACCTTAAGTAAGGCAGATCAATAATATTATTGAATATTAAATTATCACATTATCCATGATTCTGCAGAGAATCTCCACCAATCAGAGAATTGCGATAGACAAGAAGATATGAAGCACTGCGAATTACGGAATTGGTAGTCTCCCTACGCTCTCAAATGACTAAATATATACATAATCAAAAAATGTAAATGAATTTTTTTATATTTATCCATTGTTTTTTCATTCGATTATATCATTTGCAATTCTTCACGGGATTGTAGTTTTTTCCTTCAATAATGCCATTAAAGGGATACTCCACTTTTTTTGGAAATAGGCTCATTTTACAACTCCCCCAGAGTTAAACTGTTCAGTTTTACCGTTTTTGAATCCATTCAGCCGATCTCCGGTTCTGGCGGTACCACTTTTAGCATAGCTTAGCATACATCACTGAAGTGGACAAGACCATTAGCATTTCTCAAAAAAAAATGACCAAAGAGTTTCGATATTTTTCCTATTTAAAGCTTGACTCTTCTGTAGTTACATCGTGCACTAAGACCGACGGAAAATGTAAAGTTGCGATTTTCTAGGCTGATATGGCTAGGAACTATACTCTCATTCCTGCGTAATAATCAAGAAACTTCACTGCCGTACCATGAGAGCAGCAGGCGTAATGATATGACGCAGCGCCTGAAAATAGGCCACCTTCCTTCAACACAACGGAACTATTTTCAGGCGCTGCGTCATATCATTACGCCTGCTGCACTCATGGTACGGCAGTGAAGTTTCTTGATTATTACGCAGGAATGAGAGTTCCTAGCCATATCAGCCTAGAAAATCGCAACTTTACATTTTCCGTCGGTCTTAGTGCACGATGTAACTACAGAAGAGTCAAGTTTTAAATAGGAAAAATATCGAAACTCTTTGGTCATTTTTTTTCATACTTCAAGTATGAAAGGATTCTATGGTTTAAATCATTGCATAAATAATAATTATACTGTTTACCGGTAAGTTACTTTTGAGCTCTTCATTAGCAAGATCACAGTAGTCTCTTAGCAGTGCAATATCACAATATTCGGCCGTAGGTTCACAGCCTGCTGATATCCATATCGCTCGGCTACGAGTGTCATATTGCGTTTATACAACAGTTCAACGGCACACTTGAGTAAATAAATAAGAAACAACAACGGAGTGTCTTTAAAACCCCTCTTTTGTGCAGAACTACTTCCTTCCGCCACGGATTCAAATCTCGGACAGTTTGACAGTTGAGCACAAGCCTCCGTTACTAATTCTAAAACGTCGCTTTTGGACTAGTAACGAAGGAACATTGAATCGCTTCATTGATGTTTTTTGTAGAGTACAGTATTATACTGTACTCTACAAAAAACATCAATGAAGCGAATGGTATTATGAAAGAGATCGACTAAACGGGTGTATTACCTGCATCTGATATAGCATTCATTCTTCAGGTCGATGTCCATAATATTATATCCAAAACATCAGTTTGAATGTCCGCTGAGGGAAGCGTTCGTCTTTGTCCTTCCCATGACAGCGCTAAAACAACTTCCTTATTCTGACTCACTCATAAATACAATCTTTTTCGCCATCTAACGGCGTAATAATGTAACTTTCACTGAAGTCCATATCACGATCCTTTCTCAGTTCCAAATACGGCATATTATAGAATAATATTTAGCTATTGAACAAACATTTTTAAATTAACAACAATTGCCATTATAAGTAAGCAATAAGTTACGAGCCTCGAGTACCTTATTGCTTTTACTCGCTTACGCTTACTCGATTTCTCACAATACTCTACTATAGACCTTATGCACCAGAGAAACGAGGGCGCCGCCATCTTTAGAATATTGTCTTTGAACTTCCGTTTTTGCGGTCACTCTGTATATTTCTATGGCATCGCTGTCCAGGAGTAATTCGCTGATGAAGTTGATTTACTTATTGTAGAGTTAACGAAAGTTATCATGAGCATTGTAATGTTTATGATAAGCATTGTAAAGCATATGTCTTAACAAATGGACCTTGGGAATTTTTTTAACGAGCCGTTCATTCATAACTACGCAAGATCGCTGTGAAAATACAGACCGGAAGTCAAAAGACAATGAGCTCAGTGCGGAAAAGGGGCGTGGCTACATAATGAACAATATCAATGAGATCAAATATGTGTTTAAGTTGCTAAGAGTGGTTGCTAGGCGATATGACAGTCTCCGCAAGTGGAGTGATACAAACGGTGAAACGAATATCGCACAGCTGGAAAAGGCTCTCAGCCAATCAGATTCGAGAACCAGAAAGAACCGTTGTATAGACGAATCCGGCGAAACTACCGGAAGTAAGCGGGCGCCATAACTGAGCTGTTGCTGGGTAGCGTTGCGCCATTGCCTCCTATTGTTTTAGTTGCAACTTGCTCCACTGGAATAAACAGCCCGCGTTTTACGACTGTCACTAACGTTACAAATTTTATAATGTCGAGTGGGAAAACATGTTGGCATTTTGAAAAATCATCGGATGCCAGGCGAAGGAGAAAATTCTCTTGAATACCTTTAAAACAACAGAAGGGGCGCATTGGGGTAGTAACGTTATTAACAGTACTGTTATGTCTGTTGTTAATGTTTGATTTGCTTGACTGTGACAGATTTTTTTTTAAATAAATTAAATTAAATATGCAGTTTTTGTTATAATAAGAATTATTTAATGACATAAGTAAAAAATATAATAAATATGTAATATAGTGCTCAGCAAAATCTCCTCTCTAGCTATTTTTTCTATTCAATTAACATGCTATGGTCATTAAATGGCTTTCCTGAGCTAAATGTAACGTTATGTGACATAATTGTTCTCCTGCTGTTATATTGACCTCTTTCCATGGTTTAAAAACACTAATTGGTCGATATTATGTATACTTTCTAGCTGTACCTTACCCTTGCCTTTTGCAATGTGAAAATGAGATAAATAATGGACACAAATGAAAAACATGAATTCGTTTATTTGATGTCATTCATTTATTTATTGTTGCCAAATGGACAGATCTTTTTATAGTTTCCTCGTTAGCTAACGTTAGCCTAGCTAGCTTGCCAAGCTATTTTCATAAATAATCTGTAAGATCGTTTGTACCTTCATCTGTGACTGGAGGCCACTGTCTGACATCATCAACCCAACAAGTCATTCTGCCTGGCTGTAGCTGGCATCGAGGGTGCGTTATCACGGAGGTTTGTTTACATACCGGTAACAGCTCAGTAATGGCGTTGCCACAAGATGGCAGCCTACACAGAACGCTCGTCGGATTCGTGTATAAACATAAATATCAAATGATATCACATAAAACTCTTATCTTCTTTCTACCTGTTTCCCAAGAAATAAATGAACATTCGGTTTAAATTTGCTGTGAACTGCAATTACTATGCAGTGAAAGCCTCATGTGTGAAGACTGAGCACTGCCTTTAGACAGGCTTAACCCTGTTACTCCGCCAGGCAGCCGGCCGGTAAAACCTGAGTAGACAGCTTTATTGTGGCGCTCAGAAGGAATTGACAGCCCTGGACACAGCAGAAGCTTTTAAAAGAGAGAGATTATCTGTGTGGCAAGTGCTAGCTTAGCGCTGACAAGTGACAGTGTCCTATCTTGCATCCTGTGTATTTACTGGCATGTTTTCTGCTGATATAGTCTGAAGACTGGACAGAAGATTTATTTAATCTTTTTTTTTTCAGCTTATGATAATTTGTTATGCTAAATTGGTATCATCCATCCACTCATCCATCCATCCATCCATAACAACCCTGGGGCACATCAACATGTTTCTTTTTCCATTTTAATTGTGACCCTTAAACTTTATACAAATGTCCTCATTAATTTGCAATGAGCTCCTTTATTGCGTTTGCATTGAAGGGACGTCAAACCTGTCCGTTCATTTTTGGCGCCAACGTGTCATTTAACACCTTTACAACTCTCAAATGTATTTGGCTCACTTGTATACTACTCTTTGTTGAAGAAGTTTATTCTGTCATCGGTGGTGAGCCATTCATTCTCAAAAAACTGGATAAGCAGGTTAGCTCCTCCTCTTGCACACCTCTCTGTTGACTTTCAGTTTCTGTGTGTGTGGTTTAGTTTTTGCTATGTGAGCTGAATGTCCCCACAAAGCAAGCACAACTTGAAACAACCTACATTAAGGGGACATTTGGGAGGCCCTCGTGAGGAAAACAGCCACTTAAAGAGATAAAATGACATCTCTGATGTAAAAATACATATGCACGTGTGTGTCTCCACAGGTTAACCTCCAGTCCTCGAGCAACAATGAGACCTATCAAGAACGGCTGGCGAGATTAGAAGGGGACAAAGAGTCTCTGGTTCTCCAGGTGAGATATTTCACTAAGACCTCCAAGGCATTTCAGCTCAGTATAATAGTAACAATGTCAACACAATGAGAAGACAACTAGCCAACATGCTTGTAAAACCTCACAGGGTCAAACCAGGGGACTGTGGTGTCTCTGTGAACGAATAGACATGTGACACTGCCGCGCTCCAGCCCAGGGTGACACAACTCCCTGTCCAATACACAATGGGTTGGTCAATGATCACATAGCTATGGGACAATCTGGTGAAAGGTTAGAGGGTTGGGTTGGTGTTACTCAACATGCTACTAAGTCACAATGGTAGCCACCACAGAGTGAGTTTAGCCATTATCAGCTCAAACCTGTTCTTTATGGTAATGTTTACACTAAACTAGCAAGCTTGTGTTCAGTTAACAGACTATTCAAAAGCAGAAAAAGTCCAATTGCTTTGAAAATACTAGCAAACCTCTCCTCTCCAAACAATTTGATCATCCATTCCAAGTTGTTTGACAAACAAACATTGCAATGTTTTGAAACCACCACATAGCCACAAGTCAACCTATTAATGCACATTAAACAGGGGTATAAGAATATATTTTACCATTACAAAATGACACACTTCACCTTTAAGAAGTTAGGTTGTCTAACTCTGCAACTAGTGTCAAAAGTTGTCAATCTCCATATGCCCGCCCTTCTTGCTCTCTGATTGGTGGATTGTATTGAGCTCTGAAACACTGATGAACATGATTGGCTCCTAATGCCCTCAAGGTGTTGTTCTTCTCCTTTTACCTGTCCTGCTGGTTGGCAGTCCTTCAGTTGGTGTTGAACAAAAGGACACTTTCAAAACAATTGAAACTCAAGCAGGCTCACATGTTAGCATGGCTGTGTGTCAAGGCTAAGCAATGGTCGTTTTTAACCCATATGTACACATTTGAAGGATTACATTCCTCTGCTGTTTAGACTTTGGAGTTCCCTGTGTATTGCAATCGTCATTAGCATACCTGTAGGAGGGACTGACAGGGAAACACTGGCCAGGTTTCAAGGTTAGCCTGAGTGAACGTTGTCTGCTGTCTGTTGGTTTTAGGTGAGTGTCCTCACTGACCAGGTTGAAGCTCAAGGAGAAAAGATCAGAGATCTGGAAAGTTCCCTGGAAGAACACCACCACAAACTCATTTCCACTGAGGAAATGCTCCAGCAGGTAAGACTACTCCCTGTCATTTATCAGGCTTTACATTCAGATTCAAGCAGAAATCAGAGGAATATAAGGAAGGGAAGTTGAAAATGATTGAATCTTCTACCTGCTGGTTTTGCAACAGTTTCAGTTGTAATTGTGTAGACCTGATTCAGATTAAATGGTCAGACTTTTTAGTGTGTTTGATTTATGCATGTGGTTTACTCAGTCCTGGCATAATGACACCTTCAGACCTTCACATCCAAGAGTGTCTCCGTGGAGTTAGTCGTTCGTACAGTGTGATTTACATGTTTTACTGTTTGCTGTATGATTAACTGGCTTAAACCGCTGGGTTTGTAATCATACTTGTTTGGCCATTGTGTTTAGTAGCTGTTTGCTGGCAACTGTTCCTTTGATTTGTGTAGTATCATTTCCAAAGTACTGTTTTTGAAACGGCTATGTTCCTTTAGCATTGCCAAGTGGAACCACAAAAATAAACACTTATTTGTGAGTTTCCGTTGTAGGATTTTATAAAAAATGTTAAATCCGACAGAACTGATTTGAGTCATTGGTACAATGTTTACAAAAGGTTAAATGATTAATGTGTCCAGTTTCTTTGCACTTAAGACACTTTTTTTACTTGGAATTCTGCCAGTAAGTTATTTATGAAATATTTTAAATTATTATAAATGATTTAGATTTATAATGTAAATAATAGTAATATATTTTTAATAAAAAAATTTTTATCATCTGAACATATATTTTAAATGATAACCAGTTATATTAGTGAGAATTGCCCTCTTTTCCTGGGATCACGTTAAGGATTCCATAACTGGAATGCTTTGCTAACAATCATATCAAGATGGAATGTCAGAGATGGAGAGATAAAGACAGCCCTTGTGTTTTTCTTGCTTGATAGTGCAAGTAAACTCACAGTTTTAGACATGACCGTTTTCTTTAACATTACTTGAAGGATATTTTAAATAATGACTATATAGTAGGAGACTATATAGAGTTTTTTTAGATGTGAAAAAGCCATTTAAATGAATAAAATCTTATAACTCCATGGACGTTTTTGAACATTTTATGAATATAGATTTTAGAAATTGTGAGTAAAAAAAAAAAAATGTTTTCCTTATCCAGTAAATCAAAAACAACTGGAGACAAATGCCTTATTGTATATTCTTGTGGACAGTGAGGGGCCTTGGAGTCAAAGGGGCTGGATAATGGAAAAATAGCACTACCCTGACTAAGGTCTATTGCATGATAGAGTGTGTTGCTGGTGGGTGATTGTGACTCATGTCCACTGTATTTCACAGAACTGAGATAATCAATATACCACGGATGTTTGTGTTGGATTCAGTGGTTTTCATCCATCATCACTATGCTTGGGACTCGATTGCCATTCACACTTCTATTAGATTCAACTAATTAAGAGAATATGGATTTCAGAAATATAGATTTGGAGACATGAGCACACCATCTGTGGTCTATTGTAACTGTCCGAGCTTTCTGATAGTTAGAATGACATGAAATGTTGTATTCTGCTTCAGAAACTAGAAAGGAGAAGTTGTACTGTGAAAGAGGAAGCGCAAGTGCGTTTAAAAAAAAAAGTTAGAGCATTTAAGTGTAATTCTGGTTGAAGAATGAGGCATAACTCAAACTGAGACCAGACAAAATCTGGTATATATATATATATATATATATATATATATATATATAAACAATTTATTATTTTTTTTTTTACATGCATGAATATTGTAATCATTCTGTATATATTATAGTACCACGATATTTCCATCTGATACCATCATTGTATCTCCACAATACTTTTTTATGAGGGCTATTATGTATATTTTGTGACCTTTTTGGCTTTTTAAAACACTGGTTAGCAAAGGTTCTCAGAGCCCTGCTGAATTTAGCCCATAGTATCAGAAATGCTGAGAAACAAAGTTTCCCTCTTTTGGCCCTCCTGACTTTCTCACATACAGGCACCAGAGAGGGTGAGGAAGTAAAAATAGCGTTCATTGCTTGAGTATATTTAGCGGTGCTTAGCTTTGGCTCAAGCGTTTCTGTGAAAGAACTTGGCCAGTGGAGCAACGAGGAGCCGACCGTGTGCCGTGGGATTGTTACTGTATACAGCACAACTGTGTGGGTGTGTTTGTGTGTCACCATGTGTTCGCTAACATGTGTGCGTCTGCTCTAGGAGCTCTTCAGCCGAACCTCACTGGAGACGCAGAAACTGGAACTGGTGGATGAAGTTTCCTATCTGAAACTCAAGCTTGTCGGCATGGAGGAGGAACACAACCACATAGATGAAGAGAACAAACATCATAAAGCAGAGGTACTGTATCAGACTGTCAGCTCATACAGGGCAACGGGTTCATCCATTATACGATGTTACTTGAATAATATCATATTAACGTTGTTCTTTTAACTACGGTTTATCCTATAGTTGTTTGCTTCCTCTATTTTTATGGTCTGTCTTGTAAGGATGTCACAATATACTGACTGCAATAATTTCGCAATTCTCTATACCAATTTTATTATTAAAGCAAAAACGAATGTACTGTCAATATAATATTTATTATTATTATAGTATTTATTAATATTTTGATTTAGGAATGATTTTTATATTTCTTAGTATTTCTTATTTTTAATTTTTTACATTTATTTTAATTTGTTGTTTTGTACTTTTTAATGTTATTAAATGCATATGTAATTTTTATTCGTTTTTTTTAGCTTAGATTTTAGGTTTTAGTTTGTTTTCAGTTATGTGGCAAGGCATTTTTAAGTTGTTATATAATAATTAATTATATTTCGTTATATTTTATCTTTAAGTATGAACGTTAAAAACTGAATATTGTTATTATAAGTTGTGTGGTGTGTATTATTTATATATATATATATATATATATATATATATATATATATATATATATATATATATATATATATATATATATATATATATATATATATATATATATATATTAATTTGTGAGGCAACATTTAAACAAGTGAAATACTGGTTTAGATGTCCTGATTGTTATATTCGTCTTTTTCATTGTGCCTGTGTCTTTGTTGTCCACCTGTTGGCTCTAATTCAATTGAAACCACAGAAATCAGCCATGTCAGTATGTGTGGTTTAATACTTTTAGAAATATTAATCGAAAAGTGTGTTGTTCTATAGAAGAGAATCTGATATCAGACATAATATTGTGGTTACGAAGACCGCAAATCTTGAAATACAAGAACAGTAAACCTGCTCAAAATATGAGCTGATATTTAATCTGATGTTTCCATATGGCACATGGAAACCTAACTAGAGGACAGGGAAGTCATGGTGGCATGTTTATGTTGTAGTGTGTGTATATGTGGATCCTGTAGATTTATCACCTCTTAACACCTAATTACTTATAGGACTCCCTGAGTTACACTGTGTATAGACAACAGACTAAACAGAGACTCAGAAAAACACCATAACACTTTAAAAGTGCATCTGTCCTGAGCTTTATTTTTCTTGAACAGACTAAATCTCTGGCTTGCTGACTAAAAATTGGAAGGTTCCTTTTTCAAAGCATTTTACCAGATGGGTTTCCCACAGCCATGGGAAAACCTGGAAAAAAAACAGGGCAAATTACAATCATGGAAATTAATAGAAACTTAAAATCATAGGAATTTTCGTAGTGAATATACATTTGTCTTGGTATCCTCATCTCAAGATATTTAGCTCTTTATGAGTGCTGTCTATATCGGATTTTTTAATTAATATGTGAACATTTTGCTGGTGTTATATTTCAGGTAGGTACAGTATACCAAGGACTCAAAGAGATGAAAAAATGGGAAGAAATGTGAGCCCATAGATGTCTCATTGTTATGTCTTCATCAATCGTTTGAGCCGGGCTATCACACAGACTCAGCCTTTCCACACTGACAGTGTGCTTACAGAAACATGATTTAACGATATGTACACACACGCACAGACAATTACACATACACACTCAAAACCTATGTCCCACAAATGCTCCCAGTGCCAAAAAGGCAATGCGCTGATAAAGGAAGATGTTAATCGGTAGAGACACAAAAGCATGCGGTGGGCCTAAATGGGAGACAGTGACAGGCAGTTTGATGAACGTGAAATGACAGACGCCAGAAGTGCTCAGTGCTTGTCTTGATGAGAATTCAGCTGCACACATCAACATCACACACACACGGTTTTTAACACGTATCTGCAATGGGTGTCATTCACCTTTAGAAATGAAGTGAAACGCAAAGAAAAGGCTGCTAATGCCCGCTGAAATGCATGTAGCTTTTTTCAGTTTTTAGGGCACCGCACGTACATTTTACATTTAATATTTATACGTTTTGAAATAGGGATGTATAAACCTAAACTGAATGACAAGTTGATTTTGAAAATATGTAGCAGTCAAAAAAACTACTAAGATATGCATACGGTATGAAAACAAACAAACAGATAACCTAGTTGTCACGTTGTGTCTGTAGAGAAGCGCATAATGAAAGGAATAGGGAAACAAAACAGTTTTTATTAAATCTATACCAAATACTCAGGAGATCCCTGGAGAAAACATAAACAACCACATTAACCTTAGACGCTAACATAGACAATACTGGACACATAACTAAGGAAACTCAGGCCTTCAATACAAGGGGAGAGTAATCAAATTTCTGTCAAATCTTGCTTATTACAAGAGTGTGCATATTCTGTGACTGGTTAATGAAATTTCTAGTTTTTCTGGGTAATGACTAAATTTTGTAAACCAATCTTTTTTACTTTTTTTTTTTTTTTTTTTTTTTTTTTTTTAAGCGTCACCTCACACTCTTAGTGTTGGGGTAACTGAGCTCTCCTTGCATTTGTTGCATCAACAAACACTAGCCTCAAGGGTGACAGCTGCAAGGCTCCATTCAACGGGACGGAATGGATGAAATTCTCTTTGAACATACCACAGTCACAAACACTTTCACCACAGACATCTCCCCCACTCACAAACCTTTAGCATGGAGCTAAATATAGGCGTGGAACGTGTGCCTTATCATCAGCTTTAGCATCAATGGGGAATATGAAACTTCCTCTGGCTGACTGCATTTAGTCTGACTAATCATTCACTTGTTCACAAGTGAAAAACAAACCGAACATTAACACGCTCTTGCTAAAGTCAAATCTCGTAATCAGTGCATAGTACTGTTATACATCTCAGTTTTGATTAAGAATTAGAGATTTACTCCCCATGTTGTCCCAAAAACTATTTTATTTGAATCACAAGCATCTGCATTTTGTCTCATGAAATACAGTAGCTTGGTCCCCAGAAAAGCTTGCCCTCATAGAGACCATTCTGGAAAATTAGTAATTCAGTAACTTATTTACTCTGGCAAAGAGGTCACAATGCAGGTCCCATCGTCACCTTTACTATTTATACAAAGCGGCATTGTTTCAAGCATAAAACATAAAACGTACATATAATGCTAGCAACATGGAGAGGTGTTCAGTTGAATGCCTTTATTATAGATTTAGGTTGAAAAAAAAGATTTCCATATCACAGTGCTAATAAAAACATTGGTTGATGGAAATAACACTAAATTTAGTTTCAGAAAAATAAAATGACAATGCTATTGTGGTGTATATGTATATATATACTGTAGGACTTTGTTAGTGGACAAATTAACTAAGTGACAGTGACGGACAAATTAACTAAGTGACAGTGACAGACAATGTATTATTTTTTTTTTTAAATGATAAAAGTCCACAAGGCCAAAAGTTTAAGAAACCTGACCCTGGAAATACTTTTCTGGAGTGGACATGTGACTTATTAGATACTAAAACTGGCTTCAATTCCACAAAGCCAAGGAATGAATATGCCTTTTCAGAGAACCCAGATTAATCACAAAACCATCTATGTCTATTCATAATTTTGTTTCCAAATCTGATCAACATTTTCCTTTTTCTGGCTTTCTTGTTTTTGCTCTCTCAGAGTGTGGTTAATCTAATTAGTGAACTACAGGAGCAGATGTGTAAATTCCAGGAGGAAATCAGCAATCGCATTCAGGAGCAGAGGGCCCTGGAGAGCATGGGGGACAGTAGCACACGCGAGGCTCTCGACCAGAGCCCCGATGTGGGCCTTGGTGCCTCGGACGCTGAGGAATGCAGCTGCCGCTGTAGAAGCGGAGGAGAGAATGTAGGCAGATCCTCCATTACATGGTGGATTTACTTCAAGACCCTCTTTTAACTCTTTGCTCTACCCTAAAACATAACCATTCCCCCATCTCACTTTTGGACACTCCAACAGGAATTACTACTAACTGCCTCTTCCTACAGTGTCTGTGGGCTCCACTGTGGGAATCTCATGGTTATTGGTGTTTGCAGTGTGTTCTGATGAAAGAATGTGATTTATTTTGGGTGTAAACCTGCATGATTGATGCTCACTAACGCTAACGGTTGCTGAGTAGTTCCAGAGAGCTTCCAGAAGGGTTGTGGGCTTAGTGGTGACTCTATTAGATGTTTCCTCCTTGATCAGTTCTGACCGTTTTTGAGGAGCCAAGGCATCTTTTTAAGAAACAAGGTTTCCCAGGAATCTCCGGAGCTTTCTTGTATTTAACTGCACGGTGTGTGGGTTTCATGGGTCAGTCCAAACCCTCTCCTCTGAATTTTCTTTGTATTGATCTGAATGATCTTAGTGCAGAGCCCCTAAAGTGAAATTCGTATGGGAAAAGCCCCTGGAACTTTCGAGTGTGCGCAAGAACGTTTTTCCACATGTACAAGTAAATCTTGGGGTTTTATTTTTTCTACAAAGTCAATTTAGGGGCTCCGTACCTTAGATAGCTGTTGCCAAAGGGGTAGGAAATTTGCCACCAAAAGGTAATGTGTAATTTTTCTTCTTTGCTTTTGTTCATTCTTCAGGCATTGCTACAAGAGCTTCGCCTTTTTAAGAACAAAGTTGAAGAACTGGAGGGAGAGAAATCGCAATATGAGAGGAAGCTCAAAGCCACAAAGGTAATGTACTGTATATTTAATCTGGACTCCTGTTAGCCTTCAGTCTACAATTGTTGCTCTTGCGGTTTTGATTTGTTCATCATGAACCATCAGCATTTACTAACAGTCTCTTTTAGCCATATTGGCATAAACCCAAATGCAAACTCTCAATGCAACTTCTTTCTTTGATCTTGTAACTATTCTATGCATACTAATTGGACTCTTTATTCAATAGTTCATTGCACTCACAAATTCTTAAGCTCTCAGCATAATGAACATCCCTCTGGCTTTCTCTTCCTCCAGCTTTCTATCACCTATTCCCTCCATGTCTGTTACCAGTCGCTCATGACCAAACTTTCTACCCTGAAGCTCACGGTCGAGCACACTCAGGTAGAACGACAGCATTGGGAGGAGCGCTGTCGGACAGCTCAGGTGCTTAACCCCACTCCCACTCCTTATCCCTTGCCATCCTCCCTGAGGAGTATGACACAAAGGAGAGGGTGATGATGGTCCTGTCCAAAAATGGCACCCTCAGTACTTGCGTACACAGTTTAATGTAGTGTTGCTGGATAACACCACTATAGAGATTGCTATAGACTCCTTCAAGGTCCATTGAAGACACATGGGAAGTACCCTCTTGAATCACAAAATGGGACACCATAATGTCTCGTGGACCACAGGGACACTAAAAAAATGAAGGCTGCAAGTTTGCATCAGGAAGTGCCATTTTGGACAGGGTCGATTTCATAACATTTCCAACTCTGACAGGACTTGGAGGTCTATGTTTTCAACCGAGCTTTTTCATGGTTTCTTGAAAATATCCACTCCTTTGGTTGTTATGCCTCTCTGAGCTCCTAGTCTGAACCCCATTCTCTGTGCGTCTCTTGAACCCTCTTCCACCTATTGTTTTATTTCAGGGACGTTCAATCCGGGCAACCATCCTGCAGAGTTTAGCTACAACCCCAATTAAACACACCTGAACCAGCTAATCAGGGTCTTCAGGATCTTCAGGAACTTTCAGGCCGGTGTGTTAGAGCTAAACTTTGCAGGAAGGTGGCCCTCCAGGAGCAAGATTGAACGCCCCTGGTTTATGTAATTGATTTACTCGGTCAGTTGTTGACAAGCTTTTTGCATGCACTGTGTAGTTTTGTGCAATAATCTTGCAGCTTCATGATCCCCAGTTCTTAACTTGATGTTGACCTTTTTAGACCGCTCACAATTGCTCTCAAGAGCGAGCTCTACATGGTCTAGTGGCAATCTTTTAAACCACGTTATGTGTGGAAGCAAGCAATGTAGGGAAACCGTATGAGTGGATGGGCTACTAGAGATCATCCATCTGTGTTTGCCTCGTGCTCATTGATGGAATTGTATGTTTGTGTAAGTATTTGCGTATTAGTTCAGGTATGCATGACTACATCCTCCAGCAGATTGTTGGGTCTGTCTGTCTTGGGGAATAAGGGTTGAGCAGTTCAAAGTGGCGATATAAACAGATATGCACACCATATGGGGGTACATACATCTGAAATGTACATGTAGAAATGTACGTCTACATTTCTGTAGACTTCATTATATCTGGTTGTTTTTCTCTAGCCTGTAATGATTTTCCCAAGTTTAGTCATATTTGCCTGTTACTACCCACTCAACCCTCTCTCGTGTTTGACTAAACAACGGCAGATGGGGGGATGTTTATTTGTCGTGCTATTGGTGATGTTATTTGCTAACATTTGAGCATTTACAGGGTTAGTATTCTCTGAGTCTGCTACCAAACAGTTTTTAGCCAATCACAAACTTCTGATGGGGATGACGTAGATGTAATCTCTTCAAGCTGATGCAAATCGAGTCAAAAATCTGTTATCTTGATTTTAGCTTGCTAGAATGTTCATTTAGCTCAAAATAAAAAAAATGTACACCATTTTATTCAACTATGTAGCCTACTTTAATCCCAGCATAGCTGCTTGAATGTGTTTTCTGGGAAATCATATTTAGAGAGTTCTGCTAGCATTTTGAATGGTTGTACGTTAATGGTATCAATATGCTACAAATACAGAAAGTGTTTGCTTGTGTGTGGTATCGTAACTTTCTTCCTGCTTTGTGATGGTTTAGTGAGTGTTATGTGTGAAAGTGCCGTTTGTCGCCCCCAAAACGGTGAAGGTCATTTTATCCTTATTTAACCTTGTTGCCTCTGTGCCTGACTGTCACATTTGTGTTGTCAATGTTAGATTCTTCTGTTCTCCCAAAAAGCATTAATGTGATAAAGTCCATTTTGAATATCCACCATGATGTTGTGGAAAATGTGTGCCCTGTTGTCTTTCTTACATGAAAATGAAAAAGAATCATGGTTTAAGATGATGTTTTCACCATCTTTTGAAAGGTGCTAATCTGCTAAAGTGTTTCGTTTTTGTTAGACTGAGATTGCCAAACTCCAGCAGCTGCTTTCTACGAAAGATGCAGAAATCGAGTGTCTACAGAGTCAGCTTCTGTCCCGAGGAACCATCAACAATGACATCACAGAGAGAGGTACATCTAAGAAGATTAAATCCTAATGGTTGTTGAAGTGCTACAACATGCTACCAAGGCCTTAACCCAGAATAATTTAGCATTACATTACTAAATGGCATTTTCCATGAATAGGCAACAAAAACAGGCCTGAAATTTAAGCCCTGATTTGTTTGAATTACTGTTGTTTTATACGATAAAAATTAAATGGTTAGTTCACTTAAAAATGTTCCCCGTTTGTGGAAAGTACCAAATACTAGCTGCATGGGAGTGACGGTGTGTGTGTGTGTGTTGGAAAATGTTCATGTGAGTGTTGAAATTACTAACATGTGGCTTTTTTTGGTAATCACTGTGGCCTCTGGTCTTCGACGCTCCCTGTTGTAGAGGAAGTGTATAAGAAAAAGCTGAGAGACAAACGTAAGCGCACATTTCAGATCAACATCTCAGATCCTCCCATGCTGTACCCCAGCTTGATTCAACTGCCCTTCAGCGTCTCTGTCAATCTGGCTAATGTACACTGGCATGCTGTCAAGCATGTCGCGCACATCTCCTCCGTGGCTACCTGTGTGTGTGTGCGCGTGTGTGCGCGCACGGAGGGATTGTTAAGTGTCTGATTCATGCTTGTCGTCACACCCTGCAGCCACTCATTGCTTTCCCATGGGTCTATGAGCTAAAACTCATCCTTTACTATTTATGTAGGGCTAGGGCCATGGCCAGTTCAGAGAAAAGAAATGATGAATCAACTAATCACCTCAGAGCTACTGTATGTTGCTGAACTTCATTCTTCATTATAGCACTAAGCAGCTAATCTTATAATATGTGCATTTATTAACAGCTCAGTAGTGAATGTATTTTATTGACTCAAGTCTTACTCCGTCATCTTAGTGTGTGAAAAGACCTTTATATGTAATAATTTTTATATGATGTTAAATATACTACATAATTGTACAGATATTATGAATACTATATTTCATATATATATATATATATATATATATATATGAAGAGTTCAGATGCAAAAGCCTCTAAGTGCCATCTGAAATTTTCTTCTAGAATGATCATTTTTATAAAGTTTGTTTAAGTTCAATAATTTCTCTTAAATTACAATTAATAGGTAATTTTCATAGCCATTTAAGTGAAATTACTGAACTTAAATATACAAGCTTGATAAAAATGATCATTCTAGAAGAAAATTTCAGATGGCACTTAGAGGCTTTTGCATCTGAACTCTTCATATATATATATACTGTATATATAAATATATTATATAAGAGCATATAAAGTACATCGGCCTCATTATATCATAATGATATTTGACTTTGTTTTTTTGTAATCCTTGTATATATCCTTGTATATAATCCTATTACATGGAATGTTAAATATATATTTGTTATGAATAATATTTATAAAAATGTAATAAAGTATAAAATAAAATATATAATATATAAAAATATATATTAAGTACATTTGTCCCATTATATTATAAAATATAGTTTACTGTTTGTATTTGTAATCCATTTGTTATGTTGAATATACAGTTTTACATAATTTGAAACTGTTAATAAAAATATATAAAGTATACATTGGCCACATATTATAAATTACATTTTATAATGTAATGAATATTGTAATTAATAATATATTATATTAATTTACTATAATGAATATGTGTGATATGAATGATTATCTAATAATAATACTAATAAACTAATCTGTTTTTTGTTTTGTTTTTTTTGTAACATGGTAGCTGGTTAGCTGATTTAGCTGGGGTTGTCAGCCAGCTCTAACAAGGTTAATCTTGCAGGATGAGGTTGTTGACTATCATGTCAGTTTTTCTCTAAGCATGAGGCTCTGCTATGAAGTCTCAGAGTAAATCACTGCTTGGATAAAAAGCATGTATTAACCTGGACAAGCATGTACACACTTAGAGAGAATGTATTTTAAAAGAGTCTTGCGCCTGCCTGCTAATTCTCCTGACAAACCTTCAGAAAGACCAGTATGTCTTTGAGCTTTTTTGGACTGACACTTTTGGCAGTTTTTTTCTCTCTTAGAGGGCTGGTTTACCTCAACATCATCTATCTGTGTGTTTTTTAAATGGAGTACGTCACCATAATGCAGTGTTGAGGAGTAGCCAACTAAAAGTAGCGGTTTCTTTTAGCTTGGCTGTAGCTCAGAAAGATTCAGTTAATTCTCGTGAATCAAAGTCTGATTCTGTTGAATCGATTTGTCCTAGACGTTTTTCATGTATAGAGGAATATTCCGTTAAATCTGTTGCACATTACTACGTTTTTGTATGGCAAATCAGGGTGCATTTTAGTTTTTTAAATTGTATTTAGTGTAAATTTTACTATTCAAATTTGATGCTGTCAGCTTAGAAATCATTTGTTTGTTCAAAAACTCGATTAAATTGTGAATTATAGCATACATACAGTATATCTAGAAAGATAACCATTTAAGTTTCTAGTGTAGCTTACTTCTAGTTTAACTACAGTACATTAAATGATGTAATGCTACTCATAATTTAAAGTAGCTTACCATAATGATGTAATGCATATGAACTGAGTTTTGCTCTTTATGTTCCAGATCAAGAGTTACAGCGGTTAAAAACTGGAATGGAGACGCTGATAGCTGCCAATAATGAAAAGGTAAGTCAGCATCTGTGCACTTGGATTCGTCAACAAAATCTGCTGGAAGCAACATGCATCTTGTACATTTCGAGTGGTTTGCTGATGGACTGAACATTTACTCCATTTTGTTTCTGTAGGATCGCCACATAGACGAACTCAATGTTCTTTTGGGCCAGTACAGAAAATTGAAGGATGGCTTGGCCCTTTCTCAAGGTACGTGTTTATTTGTTGGACAACCTTTGCCTAAAACGCCATCTTGCTTCTTCAATGTTTTAGTCACCTTTGCTCGATGAATTTGACCCAAATCATAGCTGAAGCTGATTCTGTTTCTCTCTCCCTTCAGTGACCAACGATACGTTGCTGTCTGGCAGCAGTGAAGAGGATCTTTCTGGCAACCGAAAAATAAGAGCCCTGACCCATAGAGTGTACTCGGACATCATCAGATCAGAACTGCAGGTAATGTTTCAAAGGGGTTATATCAGGAAAAACTCTGTTCTTGCTTCCCTTTTTTAGTTCAATCAGGCCATTTATGGAAAAACAGTTCATTCAGAAATCATTACAATGTCACATAAGACGGTCCATGTTTTCATATCAATTGAGTGTGTAGTTTTTACATGAAGAAATGAAGCAATGTAATTTATTCCTGTGATGTGTCAAAAGAACAGCATTTATTTAAAATAGAAATCTTTTGTAACATTATAATATCTTTACTGTAACCTTTGATCAATTGAATGCATCCTTACTGAATAAAAGCATTAATTTCTTTCAAAAACAAAAATCGTACTGACCCAAAAATTGTAGTGTATGTGTAGTAGAAACGGTCAGTTTAATTTGACATTGTCAGAGCGAAGGAGTAAAATGATTGTGGAAAAACTACATTATGATTGTTTTTGGTACTAGAAACCTTGATTAATATTATAAGTGGACTTCAGGGGAAACATAAAATCCAAAAGCAAAGATTATATCCCATTTGGTCCATATTTCTATTCAACTTTAGTTAGGTTTTTTGTTCCTGTTGTTCCCAATGACAATTTCTATTTATTTTCCTCTGCATAGATGTCTTCCCGAGGCCCGTCGCCACTCCTGGTCTCTCCTCCATGTCTTCAGAGGGAACTGGACTCCAGGTGAGCGAGAGGTTGTGTTATTAACAGTACACTGATGATAGCAGAGTCTCAGTGGGAAGCTTTACTTAAAGGCATCTATGGGAGAAGGACCATTTTGCTGCAAACTCGCTGTCCCAATCGTTCACCCAAGCTAATGTGATTTTGTCACCTCTATCTCTCTTCCTTGCACTCCATCCCATTCTATCCTTCTCTGGCCCAGCTGTCACAGTATACAGCCCTCCATGGAGACCTCGATGGTATCCATTGGCGATTTGGGCTTTTACAGCAGACAATGGCAAGTGCAGTGTGTGTGCTTGTGCGTGTTTAAGAGCCTTTCTAATGTAGCAGTGGCTTTTTGTTGTGATGTCATTGCCATACGCCACACACACGCTGGTTTACACACATCGATCTAGTCTAGGATGACTGAGGATTCCGATTGGACCTCTGGTGTATGTAATTATATTAAGACATTATGCACCCCTTTTCCCCCCCAAAACAGTCAGTTTCTAGATGTATTATTTTTTGCAGTATTTTAGCAACTAGAAAAATAAAATTGAAAGTTAAAAAAAACAGCATTTATTTAAAATGGAAATCTTTTGTAACATTATAAATATCTTTAATGTGACTTTTGATTAATTTAATGCATCCATACTGAATAAAAGCATTTTTTCTTTTAAAAAACAAAAATCCCACTGACCCAAAAATTGTAGTGTATGCGTAGTAGAGCTTGCTTTTTCTTAAATTGTGAAAGAAAAAAAGAAATTGAAAAAAAAAATGTTAATATGGGGCAAAAGCTTTGTAAAAACTGCAATTGTTTTGTTTGTTTTTTCACATAATTTAATAATGCAGTCTTGCCTTGAGATTTCAAATGTCAAATCATTAATTGCATTTTAAATTTAAATTTGACTGGAAAGATATCATTGTCACCTTGAAAATGGTTTTGTCATTTGGGCTTAATTTGCTTTGGAAAATTAAATAGCAAATCATAGTTATCATTTTAATCTTTTTTTTTTATATGGGAAGGTTTTAGGCTACATATAAAGTTAGTTCATAATGTTTTTGGTTCTTGACCTTCTAATTTCAGTCATCTTTTGTTTGTAACCATGTGTACTGTATGTGCTTCCAGTGTAGACATTTGTTAGTCCATGATAACCTGAACCAATGAGATGCTCTTACTCCGCAATACCGTAAGCATAGCTTGTTTAATATAATTGTTCATGGTTTTATTTTCAGGTCAATGCAGCGAATGCTGTCCACCAGCTTGGAAGAGCTCCAAAGTGGAAGCTTACAGATGGTACAAAAACCTGAATCGTTTTGTTCTAAATAAATGTGACTCTTGCCAACTAACTCATCTCATTAACAAAATGCTTTTAGTATGAATGTCTCAGCTCAACTCAAATCTCTTTAATACTAGATTTACATTAACAATAGTGCTTTGTTGTATGTTTTAACACATTTAACAAGTGACTCACCTAACTGAGTGTATGTTTGTGTGTTTATACTGTTGGTTTTTCTTAAGCATGTAGTGGGCCAACCAGTAGAGGCTGTTTTAGAGGTACTGCAAGCTAACATGAACCAATAAAACTAAAGCAAACAACCACAACAATAGCCTTTGCTGTATGCATATGCATTAATTAACATCACATATGCTTTGCTTTTTGTTTGCCTGGCTTATTTAATAAAAATGCTTATTAACGAGAAAACACTTACACCTGATAGTAGTGTTCGTTATAGTCATTCTAATAAAATGTGTTATTTATTATATCATGTATCATTTTTCATTAAATTCTAAAGCTGTTTGTAATTATTATAAATGTATATGGTTAATATAATTAATATACTCATACTGTAGCAACATAAAAATCTTATGATAAATATTTAATCGCTAAGATAAATAACTTTCTTCTGCAGAACCGATATAATCCAGAAAATAACAAATACCAGACGCTCCCGGGCAAGTTTAGTCGTCCAGAGCAGAATGGAGTGAGACTTCTGGCGTCTTCCCCACTACAGCTGTCTCCTGATGAAAGTGAAGACAGTGAATTCAACCTAAGTAAGCAATCGTCTCACAGCACCCACAATTCCTTGTCAGAATCATTTTTCACATGGGCTGTGTTTGAAAGCAAATATAAGTGAGCAAGCATAGATTTGTTTATTTCTGGCTAGAAATTGAGTCATAATATATTAAATTAATCATTTTATATATATGCATGTATGCATTTCAATAATTTTTTTATCTTTCGGACACACCCATAATTTTGTTTTATACCATGACCTTTGACCTTCTTAACACTGTGTAACCTCAATCATATTTGACCGTGCTTGTCTGCTTTTCCATTTTCTGAGCTCAACAGACTGTATTCTTACTACTTTTGTGCTCTAAGCTTTTCAACCATAACAGCTTTTTTTAACACTACGGTGTCTTTGCATGGGCTTCTGTGTATCTTCTCTTTACTCTTTCTCTCGAACTAATCCATCTCTCGGGCTGTGTGGCTGTCTCCGCACACGTTTCCCCTCTCTCACTCCGTGCGAAGATCGCTGCCGAAGCGCCAGCGCTCCAGCTTTAGGTATTGTCCTCTCAATCTCACGTTAGCATGCGACCACAGAGCACACTCTTGCTGTGTCACATTGGATTTAACCTAAGCTCTCCTATCCTGATTCTTTAAAGCTGAAAGCAGAGTTTTTTTTCTCTCACACACTCTCTCCCTCTCCTCTCAGAGATTAGACTTTGTTTATGTGAGCCTTGCTGCTTTACTTTGAGTTTAAACTGGTGCCATGTGATGAAAATATAATGTACTGTATATGGAAAAAAGGAATAAGGAAAAATCCATTTAGGTTTCATATACAGAAGTCTAATGTTAAAATCCAGCAACTTTTATGAGCGTTTACCATGCTTTGGTTTGGTTATTTATCATTTATATCATATTATATTATTAATAAATACATATATAATATTATTAATAAATGAACAGTGTATATATAATCTAATCATTGAATTGAATTATTATTGAATTATTATATAATTGAATTGAATAATCCATTATTAAATAAATTATATTATAAAAGGTTAAACAATAATTTTGATTCTTTTCTTGGAATGTCTAAGGAGTTAAAATAAGTACCAGTGGCATGGATTATTATTATTAGTAGTAGTAGTAGTAGTAGTAGTAGTAGTATTGTATACACTCATATACCCATATATTGGATTGACCTGCTTTAAATTATATTAGACTATATTAGACCTTTCTTTCCTGGGAAAATGTTATATTTTCTTATTTTCTATTTAATCAGCAGCAAAGGCTATTTTATAAAAGTATTATTCTACATTTTTGGAATCTATGAGCTTAAATGCATATCTAAAACAGCATTGTGATGTTAGTTTTTGCTTTTTTCCCTTCTGCTCTCTTGCATGGCTAATATTTGGCGCAGGGCCGCGGGGAAAGCATGATCACTTTGTGGTTGGTGGGTACAGATAGAATGTGTATTCAGTCCAATAGTGAAGCTATAAAAACATAGAAACACATAAACCTATCAGAACAAGTGGATTACTTCCTGTTCACAGGAAAGACCGAGAAGACAGATGACTCAACCTTGTCTGACCTTTCGCCAATGTCATCTGGAGTAGAATCAGGTCAACAGTCCCCTGTTTCACCAGAGCACAAGAAGAACCAGAAAGGCATCCGAAAACTGTGGGGAAAGTGAGTTGGTTGTTGACAGACAGCATTCGATAAGCATTTATGTTTCATAATGTGATTTTTTTTTTTTTTATTGGCATAGGACAAAAGTTGATTTCATCCATCAGGGATACTTGATTGGATCATGAAAAGTGTGCTGTTACTATTGTTTTGTCACATGTTTTTTCCTCGGCTTCACAGGATCAGGAGAACCCAGTCTGGCAGTCTTCCAGCTGACGGTTCGGATTCGGATTTTAAGAGAGGGGGTTTCAGAGCCACGGCTGGCCCACGACTCGCCTGCCTGGGCATCGGTTCTTCAGCACGGTATCTAAAGCACCTACAACGAGATCTGTTCTGAGACGTGTAAGCACCTTCATTCCTGTTTCTCATATTCTACATTTGTGTTCTGCAGTGACATGAACGCCCCCTTCTCGAAATGGTCATGTGATCAGGTGTGTGCATGGATGGAGGACTCCGGCATGGGTCAGTACGTGAATATGGCCAGACAGTGGGTGACTAGCGGTCAGACTCTACTCTCTGCCTCTTCGCAGGATGTAGAGAAGGTGAGAGATCCTTTATACAAGATATCAGCACATGTTGGAAAGACTTTGGGATAAAGAACATATGCAGACCTGTGGTTTCAGGTTGTAACAATCTGATATTCTCGTGCAACACCTGGCGGTTCCTGTAAAATGATTTGGCTATGCCTCTCGCCTCAGGTCGTTGTGGTGCCACTCAAATTCTGGTTTGGTTCTACCTGCCAGGGCAGCTTTAACCTCTGTCCCACGCCAGTAATGCTGCGTGACTTACTCATTTGTTCTGCCTTCAAACTCACTCAATTAAATGTTCGGCTTTACAAGACTTTACGCTTCCATAATTGAACACTTAAAAATGTTCATTCCTTGATATTGATAGATTCCATTTACCAAAGAAATAATATGCGGTTACAACCATCTTGATTTTTGAATTGATTTTCACATTTAGGATCTGGGAATTAAACATCCACTACACAGGAAGAAGCTCCAGCTGGCTCTGCGCTCCTTCAGCACCAAAATCACAGAGAAATCCTCTGAACTCGACCACATCTGGGTCACACGTATGTACCTATGAACAAATCAATTTTCATCACTCTTTTTTGTTTTGTTTGTGGCACATATGGAGGATTTGGAGTGCTGCTTATTAAAAATAAAATGAAGAAATCAATGAACAGTTAAAATTACCAAGTAAATAAATCTAGCCCCTTTTAAAGTTGAAAAATAAATAGTCTATATACATAGCAACTTTTTATTAAATGCTATATTTTTAAATTTACAACTGGCTTTATTAACTACATTTTAAAACATGAATTAAATACTGTAAATATTTATAAATGTATGTCTTTAATTCTCAATTTGAAAGTGATTTATTTGAAGGTTTTGTGACTGAATAAAGTTATATTTGATTGCTTCATTTTTTTTAGGTGACCCTCGGCTCCTAGTGCTCCATACATAGATATTTTAGAAAACATAAATAAGGAATTACAGTTACACTCTATATAAAGAAACCGTGTTATTTCTACACAGGATGGCTGGATGATATCGGATTACCGCAGTATAAAGACCAGTTTCATGACGGACGTGTGGACGGTAGAATGCTGCAGTACTTGACAGTGGTAAATATATTTGTTAACCTTTAGTGCCTTGCCAATTAAATTAAAGGTCTGGAATTTAATGTACAGTATCAACTGAGATTAATATTGGTACTTTCTTTCATTTTCAGAATGATCTGCTGTTCATGAAAGTCACCAGTCAACTTCATCATCTCAGCATCAAGTGTGCTATCCACGTCCTACATGTAAACAAGTTCAACCCCAACTGCCTCAAAAGAAGACCTGGAGATGAGGTGTGGATGAAGTAAACAGAAAACAAAGAGTATGATAATGCACATTATGGATATGCTAATTCATGTTGTTTTGACAGAATAAGACATCCCCTTCTGAGGTCGTCCAGTGGTCCAATCACCGTGTGATGGAGTGGCTCAGATCAGTTGACCTGGCAGAATACGCCCCCAACCTGAGAGGCAGCGGAGTGCATGGAGGACTTATAGTGAGTAACTCAAATCAAACTTTGTCCTGTTACTAATTAAAGGTGATTAAATAGTTTCTGCGACACTAGTGGCACTTAGCGGAATTACAAAAATAACGCATATTTGCAAACGCCGCGTCGCGCCTCCCCCAACTCAAACATCACAAACATGGGTGCTTGTGAAGGCATATATTAAGTGGGAAAAAGTACACTAATTTCAATAACGGTACATATTAGGAATACTTTTAGCTGTGCTACTGTATGTGTCATGTGTAAGCAATTGAGTAGCCTAACACTCTGTCTAGAGCAAACGTGAGCGTCTCGTTTATGTTTTGTAACGCATTGCCATCTCAATTCCCCGTTCGCTTTGACGTGGTCATGACTCGTTTAATCTTTGAAGGTCTAAATGCAGTGAATTTTGGATTGCACTTCTGTACCCAAACTCGCACTATTGGTTGGGCTGGAAAGAGATTGACGGATCTGAGCGGACAGCTCTCAGGCTGTAGCTCGATGGGTTCATTTTTGGAGGAGATAAACCCATGAATGGCATACTAACAGTAGTTGATGAAAAATAAACTGGGTTGAGAAAATGTATTTTATCATTAAAAAAAATCTTACTTCACAATTTAAAGAAAGGTTGTGGGTTATTTTCACTTGGGTCGGCAAACAACCATCCAGAACACCATAGCAAATGCATATCACAAAGTGCTGAGAGTATCTTTGCAACCTTCTAGCAACACCCTAGCCACAACCAGCAATGTCCTAGCAGTTCAGAGCACTAAAAAACACTTACCTTAGCCACACTATAGCAACGTCCACCAACGTCCACCAACACCTTAACAACTATGCAGAGCATCCAAGCAAATGCATATGAACACATAAACACAGGGAACACCTAAGCAATCTCTTAGTATCCTAGCAACCACCCGAAACTCCCTTGTAACCTTATCAACACTAACAAATGCATATCATAACACATAACACACTAAATCCTGGTCAGAATGCCATACAAAATGCATTTCCACATGCTAAAAATCACTCAGAACATCTTAGCAACCCCTTAGCAACGCCCCAAGCAACACCTTAGCAAAAACCACTCAGAACTTCATAACATTACAACTCCATAGAAACTCCATAGAAACTATCATGAAATGCCCTAGCAATCATCTAGAACACCCTAGAACATGCCATTGGGCTTATTCAAGTCCTCTTTTATTTTTGTTATTTTTATCCATACCGCGTCTCCCACATGTGTTTTAGCAAGGTCTGTGTTGCAAGTTGGTGAATGAAGATACTTGCCAGGTTTCGCGTCACTGCTGCTTTATTAATTTATCCAGTGTAAAACCCGGACACCGCCACACAAATGTGGCTTTGTGTTAAATCCTGTATTAGGACAGTCAATAACAAAGAGTAACAGCTCACTACCAGTTACAAAAGACACTGTAACAGTCTGTCACGGGCAATTCTAGTTGCATTTTTCATCAATTAATTTCTTAAATTATCCTTTCTGGGCCGCCATCTAGTGATGACATTTATTTCTTTTTTTGGCCTGATGCCAAACTTACTTGCCGACCCATGCCCTAGAAAATGCATCACAATGTGCTAAAAATCACTCAAAACCCCATAGCGACACCTTAGCAAAAACCACTCAGAACGCCATAGCAAATATTTCTTGTTCAGATTATATTTATAAAAATTTTTTTTTTTTGTCAGATCTTGGAACCTCGTTTTAACTCCGACACCCTTGCGCTGCTCCTGAACATCCCCCCGCAGAAGACTCTGTTGAGGAGGCACCTGGCCACTAATTTCAACACGCTGGTGGGCTCTCAGGCTCAGCAAGAGAAACAAGAGTTCCTGGAATCATCAAGCTACACGCCACTAACCACCACCGCAAAAGTCCGGGTAAGAAAAGCAGTTCACATTTGCTGACCACATCTTTAGAAACACCTTAATCCCTGCCAACCGTACACCTCAGAATGAAGATGGAAGCCCTTACACATGTAAATATATACGGACTCCTGCTTCAGCAGCCTGATTCGTGTTTAAGCTCAGCTGATGCAGCACACGTGTTTTGACACTTAGATTTTGCTTAGGCCATCTATACGGAATGTGCTGAGCGAATGGTCCTACAGTGTGTAACATACTTACTAAGCACAATGCAGCTTTAGACGAAACGTTAGTTCACCTTTTTTTAGTTTTTTCTGTTTTTTAAGATAAATTATTTCCGGTAAGGATGACGTGACATTAAAGGGTCTCTTATTGTTGTTCTTTTGCCTCACCTGGTACAATTTTGAGTCTTTTACAAAAAAAATGAACTGATCTTGGAGATTCATGGACTGGGTTTGTCTCAATATTTGGCACCGTTTCCGATTATGATAATTTGATGAATCGCAGTGTGTATCCTATCATATTTGCTGATATCCAGCCCAGTTCATTAATTATTAAATTGATTGAATTTGGTCAACAAATATTTATTATTATTCTTTTAATAAGATAGTTGCTTATATCCAGCCCAATTCAATTAATTAATTATGGAATGTAATGAATGAATTAACTTTTTTATTAATAATAAAACAATCTTTTCCACCAAATTTAATTCATAATAATAAAAAAATTTGTAGACAAATGTATTGGAAACATAATTTAACAACAAAAATGAGTAATATTTTTTTACAGCATTTATTAACTATTTAACTTGAATATTTCTATTAACTAAAATGAACAAAAGTTTATACATGTTAGTTCACAGTGAATTAACTGATGTTGACGGATGCAACTTATGATTGTAATAACATTGTGTTAACAAGATTAAATGTTAACGATTAACAAGATTAATAAATGCTGTAGTAATTTTCAGAATTTTTCCACAAACTTTATATTATATAATAGGAGTATATTACTTTTATACTCTTTTTGTCTAAATAGAAAATAAAACAAACATCCTAACACAGTATGAAAATTAATATTAATTTTGAGATTTGCTAAAGATTGAACTTATTAAATAAAAAAATAAAGGAATTGTGTATGCATAGTTAAATATGAAATCTCAGCTGATATAATAATGACATATTAAAATGGTCTTCTGATATTGGCAGATAGGTACTACTGATATACTGTTGTTAATCCCTGTTATTCATGCTGTTGTATTCTGCGTATTTCTGTTCCTCAGGCACGTAAAATAGGCTTCTCCAGTTTTGGCCACCGCAAGAAGCGCGCTGACGACTCCACAGACTACATCTGCCCTCTGGATGCATCCCAAGCCCAGGCCCTGCTCAACGGGGCCAACCGGCCCTACAGCGGCTTCAGGGGCCTGAGCCCCATCTTCGACAGGGACCCAGAGAGGCGGGAGCAGGTGGGAGCTCTACAGATCTGACGCTTGCACCCATATCCCACAAAACCACGGCAACCTCCCAACGACACCCTGCTTCTGTTCAGTGCCATTTTCTAACACCCCCAGCATCCTTCATTGACGGACACTAGACCGCAGTACGGACACTGCGGAAAGACTTGGATCCAAGGGTTTAGTACATCATCTCACAAGGGAAACAGGGTTTAGTTGAACGCTTTTCCCAGAATAGTGCCACTTCACCTGTGATGATACGGTCGACTCTATAATTTTTTTTGTGGATCGTAAAAAATGTATTGAGATTTAAAAGTATTCCATTTTTGTAACCCAACACCTACTGTTTCAAAAGACAGTGTGTACTATCTTGTGCAATATTTGCATATTTTAGAGTTATTTAATGGTTTATTTATGGTGAATTTTTAAGAGGCATACAGACTACTACTTAAATGCTCAGCAGCAGCAGCAGCGCATTTTGACTAATCTGATGGTTATTTTCATACAATGAAATGCACAAGAGTATTTTTATAGGTAGATATCTTGCCTCTTCAGTTGAAGATAGACTAATGATATATTTGCGATATATAACGCAAAATATTGTTACATAAACAATAAACCTCCTCGATCACAGTGATATTGTGTGTTTTTTTCCAGCACATAGAGGGATGTTTTCCCTTTAAAAAAATGTTCCTTGATAAATATGTTTTCTTGGCTGAAAACTTAATCATCTTGCAAAATGATTTTTAATAACAAACTTTGCACACACACAAAAAACATTGGCATGCATGATTTACAAACATTAAGCATTAACCTGCTGTCATCCATGCATCTGGCCACCAACAAATGGTCATTTTCACAATGTGGAGAAGTGCATGCTGGGAAAGGATTTTCATGCACTTGTGCAGGTACATTCTAATATACATTTCTCTATATTCACATTATTTGCACTTCATTACCACCCATTGCTTCTGCTTAATATTCCATCTATTAATACAAATATATTTATTTGTACTTGCGTACAATGATGAATATTAACTTGTATTATTTAGGTTGATATATTTGATGGATATCTTGACATTTCAGATTCTGTGCGCTAAAGGATCAGGGATGCAGATCGAGGCCTTATCCAGGGGAATTAACAACCTCACAGTAAGGTTTTTATTTTATTTTATTAACTCTGCAGTATCTATTAACCAATAATGTTCTAACAGATACAGATAGGTTTAGGCTATATACAGTAGATTATTCGTAAATATATACCGCATATATTATTCTGTAATATATTAAGCAGTGTGAATATTGTGAATGTAATTGAAATAAACCAAACTAAAATATAGACTCATCATTTCAATGAATCTTCTTGTAGCCTGATGCTTATAATGATGCTTATGTTTTTTATTTACATGTACCCATATTACAATTCATTGTAAAGAAAGGAATCAATACTTATCTACATATTTTTAACACTCCTGAGACTTGAATTGCAAAACTAATCTACTCATACACTTAATGACCAAATGAAAGTCACATTTTAAACTAAATTTTAATATTCACGTCTTAATATTTCCAGCCATTGACTGAATTTTCCTGCAATCCATGTTTTCGCTGTTATATGGTAGGGGGAGCTATTACGCTTCTTAAAGAGGACTGAATCTCCAGATCAAAACATTGCTTATGCACATGTAAAATAATGTGATCCTCAAACATTAAACAGCATTTTAAAACGGCCTAACATTAGTGATCTACTCAATCAATGTATCGAGCATCGTTCTGAATCCGATCCGAGTGTAGTCTTTTTCAAATGGTTTTGATTTTCCTCAGCTTTTTGTTCAAAATGTTGCTTTTTTTTACGAAACTTACCCACATTCAAGTGTTGATTAAAAAAAATGCATGAAGCTAGAATAAAATGTTTTTTTTTTTTTTTTTATAAAAGCAGAGGGTCTGTTCTTTCTTTTGATATATTGTATGTTCAGATATTAATACAACAAAATATTCTGGGGGCCATGTAAGTTTTGTGAAAATGATCAAAAATCCTGGCCCTGGCTGGCAACTTTTTTCTTTTTCTTTGGAAGGGATAGAGTTAATATTATCGTTCTAGATCCTAAGTGAATATTCAGCCCTAGTGTCACATATTCCAAACAGTTACTGAAAAGTTTAACTCTGGTTTAACTCTGCTAAACTGGTTTAACTCTGCTAAACTAGTTTAACTTGTGGAGCGCTTCGCACTAATCGTGGCACCATCCCCTCCTCTCACTTCCAGTACTTACTGAGCCGAGACGAGCTGCTGAGAGGAATGAGACGCAGCCACACCGCAATAGTGTGAGCCACACTAACTGCCAAGAACTTAACCCGCCTCACCCTCAAACCTTCAGGACTTCAGCTGTGTCACAATCTCACCTGTTCACCATCCAGCTCAACACTATTTTCTTATTGTATTACTGTTTGTTTTTGATTTGTGAGTTTATAATGCACTATATGAAAATTATTTTTAAACTTTTTGTGTGCTATGCGAACAGCCCTTATTTTATGTCAAGAGATAATTAGCTACCTTTATGTTTTTCATATGTTGTTGTGTTCTTGTAGCCAGTGGAACTGGATGCGAGTAAATCTTTCTGTTTGCCCAGCAGTTTGTCATTTTCTTGGGCTTGATCTTTTTTCAAATCTATATAATATGTTAAAAGCACTTTGTTTGTTTTTTTCAAGCAGAAATGGTTGTTTGCTTGCTATACCTCTGTTAAATCCATCTCAAGAGTTGAAAGGGGTTTGTTGTTTTAAGGGGCTTTATGATGACTTGTCCAATGTGTCCCATGACCCAAATGGCAAACATTATATTTGGGAGGTCCTTATCTGATGGTTTAGCCTTAAATGCGCACACTTACTTTAATAGGACACCAGACAAGAGAAGAAAGATCCGACTGCAGGTTCACTCTCACCCAATACTAAGGAAAGAATAATATTGGTGAGTTATTTTATCTAATGACATTTTACAGTGTCCATTAATGCCAATTCTCACTATTAGCTAGTTAGTTTATTAGCATGCGTATTACTAGGATACTGGCAGTTTATTAGTACTTATAAAGCACATATTAATGCCTCCTTCTGCATGATCATATTCTACACCGCTTAATCCTGCCCAATACCTAAATCTAAGAAACTCTGACTAACTATTAAACCGTAATTAGGAGTTTACTGAGGCAAAAGTCATAGTTAATAGTGAGAATTGGACCCTAATCTGAAGTGTGACCACATTAACAACTATTTCCTTGTAACATAAACGCTTATATTAGCGACATGCCATTATTTTTAATCATATATTTATTTTTGTCTAGAAATGTTCATTTGTAAAAATAGAACTTCATATTTTTTTTCTGTTAAATTTCAGTCATTGTCTATTGGATTTTAAATTAGTTTTTTGGTTGTCCTTAAAGAAATGGAAAATGCAATAAAATAATACAATTATGTGTCAATATTTCCAGTGTATAAGGGAAACAACACTTTGAACTGGACCAGCTGGAATGAACCAAAAATATCTCCAGTATGAAGCCAAAACCAGCATTTTCAGAACCTTATGGGCTAAACCCAACAGAACCTCCTCGGCGGACCTCATCCACCTCTTTAGCGACTGCATTCGAGCGGCTTCATCCAGAACAAAGGAATATCTGCTCTTCAGGGACCCAGAGAACAAGTTCCACCCAAGTCCTTCAACCCTAAGCGAGATCTTTCTGATGACCTACATCCAGCACAGCAGCCTGTTGAATCTCAGCGACACGTTCAACTGCACCGCCATGACCCAGGAACAGAGGATACTGTTGGGAGCCCACTGGGTCTGGGCCGTGCTGGATCAGCCGAGCAAGAACCCCCGGATCCAGATCGCGGCCCAGGTTTTTCACCTGCCAGAAAGAACGGAGGAGAACGTGGAGGAACTGTCCTTGGATATCTACAGCGACATCATGCGCATGGCCGGGATGGATGTGGTGGAGAGAACCCAGGCCGAGAGGATGGTGGAGTTCTGCTCTTCCATCGGCAGAGACTGTTACGCGCTTTTTCTCTTCTTCGGTCGACAAAACGACAAAGGAAACATTTACGGGCTACTAAGCAACAACCTGCAAGCAGCTGTGGGGAAGTGTGTGAGGATTGATCAGGTTTTTATCGATCACTTCTTCAAAGGTGCGAAATGCTTTGCCACTTCAAGTGGAATGATGCAAGCACTGGTCGGTAAGGAGGGTGACGATCCTCTGACCATGCTTGTTAAGTTCACCTAACAGCTGAGCTGTTCTTACTAGATTCATTAACAATTTTTGGGGGGTTTATTCTAATGAGCAGCTCACTGCTTGGTAACAGATGCTTTGATTGCAGCCCTGGGTCTGTATGTTAATATGTTCCCAAGACTTTCCAGCCTTAAAACTAGTGTCTGATGTCGATCCGCCTCCAGCAATACTTAACTGTTACTCGATGCAAAATGATGTGCAGAAATAAATATTTTTGCTGACATGTTTTGTACTTTCTTTGTTACTACCCCACATTTAAAAAATGTCTGTCTACAGTATCTATTAAAGGGATAGTTCACCCAATAATGAAAATTCTATCATCATTTACTCACCCCCATGTTGTTCCAAACCTGAATGTGTTTTTTTTCTTCCGTTGAACACAAAAGAAGATATTTTGAAGAATGTTGGTAACCAGACAGTTGACGGTAGCCATTGACTTCCATAATAGGCAAAAAAAAAAAAAATACTGTGGAAGTCAATGGGGCGCGCCAACTGTCTGGTTACCAACATTCTTCAAAATATCTTCTTTTTTGATGGTTAAAATGTTCTCTTTTGTAATGGTTTAAAATATCTTCTTTTGTGATGATTAAAACGTGTAATTAAAGTAAAGCTGATGTGACCGTGGTAAACATGTCCCAACTTTTTTTGGAGTGTGTTGCAGCCCTCAAAATTCAAATTTGTTTATATTTACAAAATACACTTAAAGGGATAGATCACCCTAAATGATTTTTTTTAATTACTCACCCTCATTCTTAATTCCCTTAATTCAATCTGTTCATCATTTAAAGCGATAGTGTCTCTTTAGAAAAATTGGACTAAACCACTTAATTCATATGGATTAGTGAGCTTTTTGAAGCGTCAAAGTGGTAGTTGCTTAGCTGTCTATGGAGGGACAGAAATCGCTCAGATTTCATTAAAAATATCTTTATTTGTGTTCCGAAGATGAAAGAAAGTCTTACGGGTTTGGAAAGACATGAGGGTGAGTAATGACATAATTTTCATTTTTGGCTGAACTGTCCCTTTAAGATGGTCATTGAAAACATTGAAAAACTTGTCTTTTTACTTCTGTCAGTTAAATAAAGGTTAAAGAGAATTAACAAACCACAGATTATTGATTTTATTGCATTTTACAAAACTTTCGTAAATTTATGCAAAACTTTTCTGGAAATGTACATATACCCTGTATTTAAAATACTTTGATATTTATCCTTAAAAACAACAAAAAATACAGATAAAAAAAGTTGTTCACTATTACTGGCCTGAATTGGACTTTTTTCAAAGATAATTCCCCATAAAAGAAAAACCAAATGGATTCAACAAAAGAACTCTTTTTAAACCTACATCTGGCATTGATTCGACATGTTTCACAAGCTGTAAACCATCTATTACAAATGATCACAGAATATGTTTGTGTAATACACATTATCAGTATGCAAAAGTGTTGTCAGTTCTGTAGCCCAGCTTGTCGAGGTTTGGCAGGCAGGCATACTGGATCATGGGGGGTGGACCGCACATCACGATGAGCACATCATTGGCCGGAGGCGGGAGATGGTCTTTTATCATGGCAGCATCAACAAACCCTTTGCTGTACTTCCACCCTGTCACAAGAACAGAGACAGAAAATCTTCACAGTCGTCTCTACTGCTGGGCAGTCAAATGATCTCTACAATTAGCATTCATCTAGATATTTATATCAGAAGATGAATTGTACCTTCAGAGGGCTTGTCCAGTGTGTACCACAGATTGAGTTTATCAGGGTGATTTCTATGAACTTCATCCAGCTCTTTACGTAACAATATGTCGTCCTCAGTCTGTGGGAGTGAAACACACTTTACAACACCGCTAACAAACATTAAATAAGGTTTACTTATGTTATGACAAATATATAAACTGTTAACAAGGTGTCCTTATGTTATGACAAATATATAACGTGTTAACACTCACTAGGAAAATATAATTTAAAATAAGACTTTAGAAATATCTGCAAAAATTCAGTTAATTTTTTTGTTTTCCAGCTGAAATGTACGGAGACGTGGACAAATATATAAATATAATGTGTGTGTGAGGAGCGAGTTTTTAAAATTGAAAGTCAGGCTTCGCTGGAGCTAGAGCGGAGAGGGTATTACTGCCTTACTGACTAACATTCGTTTATCCATCTCTTTGTTGAATAATTACTTATAATTAATATAGATGTGAGAATGTGATTTCGGATAGATCTGACACCCTAATTGAACATGAAGTAAATCGAGAATTTTTCGTTTACGGACCAAAAGAAGCATGTCCCGCTGTGGTAAGAAATAAATGTACTGATATCCTACTTTAAGTCAAATAATTTTTTTAAATGTCTGTGAGTAAATTTCATATTTGAAAAACCATAGATTGTGTTGAAGTCATTTTTAGCTATTTGGTGCTGAAGAAATGTAAAATCTGGGTACCCTGTGAAATATAGTAAATCTGGCATATTAATGGACAAATTTAATCTTATTTTTTAATAATTCAACAAAAAATAAAAACAAGATTGTATAATACTATAGGCATCCTCCATACATACATCTTCCATACCACTTTTACTATGGGTCACAACCTTGTGCTGGATGATTATTGACGTACAGTAGGTTAATGATATTGGAGTAAAGAGGTTATATGTTCTGGGAACTGTAGAATAACGTTAGGGTAACATTAAGGTAACGCTAGAATAACGTACAAACCAAAAACTAACGTTCTATTTCCGTTAAGAAAGCGTTACTGGCTAACGAAAAACAAACCTTAAAAACCAAAAACTAATGTTTTGGGAACCAAAAATGGTTGTCAGTCTCCGATGCTGTTCACGTGAGCACCACGACGCATGCATATGATGCTGACGCAGGAGCCGGTGTTGTTCTGACGATTTGTGCTGCCTTGTTGAAAAATTCTACCATAGCGCGAATCGATCACAGAGAATGTCGATTAATATTATATGAAATACAATTATAATACAATTCTAAGTTATGAGTAGCTACTGTATACTGTAGACTACTGTTTTTATTTTTAAAACGGTGGGAAAAGTAAAAATTATCATCAAATATTCATCTTTGACTTGTCAAAGCACACCTTTCCTTTGTAACTGAAACTTTTAGTTATTCTTGTTCAGCTGGCTGACCGTACAAATATTCATATGGTAGTTAGCATATTTTTTTTACAGGGAAATTACATTATAACACATTAAAATTGACCTTTTGTTAAAAAAAACTGTGAGTCTGCACATGCGCATAACCAGTAAGTAACAGAAAGCTCTAGGATTTCATCAAAAATATCTTTATTTGTGTTCCAAAGATGAACGAAGGTCTTACTGGTTTGGAATAACATGAGGGTGAGTAATTAATGACAGAATTTTCATTTTTGGGTGAACTAACCCTTTAAGCTCGACGCCTTGACTACCTTTTAGAACTATTTCCTTTGGTGGAGAAAAGATGGGTATGTCTGAAACTATTATCACTTAACTGAGGATGTTTAGATATTGTTTCTGGGAAGCAACACAAAAATAAGTGGTCAAACGCACACTGAGCTCCATTTACAGTAATCTATTGCCTATTTATTTTTTTAATGAGAATTCCGTCATGAATGTGACTGACCTGGTTAGCAAATATAATGGAGCACTTGGTGTTGTCAGCAGGATCTGCGGTTATACTCCTGATCAGCTGCATCATTGGAGTGACGCCTGAAAGAATGAATGCGACGTCTTTAATTAATACGTATTTAGATTAAATGTCTTGGCAGCAATTCCTGGAAACTACTATGAATACATTGGAGCCCATTCAAAATATGTCCATCATTACCTGTTCCACCAGCAATCATGCCCACGTGTCGAAACTTCCGCACTTTAGGTTCAGATTTTTTATCAGGTCGAATACCAAACTGCCCTGTAAATGTCAGTAAAGAAATATATGCAACATCTGAAGCATTTCAATATTTTTAAAAAATGCATTGTGTATACAGGTCATGCATTTAGTAATCTTAAAACAATAAGACATCGCCCTCTAATGGCTAAATGCATTGCATCGTACAAAACAAAACTGGTGTAACATTGGAAATGATAGAACTAGGAAAACTGAAAATATAAGTTAATTCATATTATTAATAAATAATGTAATAGAGTATAAATAATGCTAAAATAACAGTGAATATGTGATTATTCATAAGTAATAATAAACTAAAAGGAGTATTTTCCCTTACCTTTTCCATTGTATACCAGTAATCCATTTGGACCCCTAAAGTCAATGGTGTCTCCAATCTTCATATCATTCAAATACTGAGACATCTTGCCTCCATCAGGATAGTTTGTATGAGTATTTTTATAGTAGACCTTATGTGAGATATTGAAGAAAGGGATTTGTATGAAGCCCACTATAAAACATAACCAGTTATGATTTGCAACTACAAAATGTATTGCATCACACCTTTACAACTAGATCAACGTATCCCTGGTCTTCATCGCTGGACACAGGTGTGTACGCACGAATAACCAGATTCCCATTCACCTTTGCAGACAGGTAAACATGCTGACCTGTGACACCGAATACAAGATCCATCTTAGAAAATGAGTGAAACTCAGGTGATATTGTGATATTATATTTGAGGTCTGGTGATTCTGCTGATGTGATAAAGGTGTAGTGTAATGCCCTACCAATAGGGAGACCAAGAACGTGAGACGAGGATGGAAGACCAAACCGGAATTTTTTAGTGTCATGAGTGATCTCCTGTTGCAAAGCAAATACAAGTAGTGCAATTGGGCTGCAACAATATTATTACTTTTATCTTTTGCAGTAGAAAACATATTCAAGTTCACATTTAAATTCTGACTAACCTCTTTCTCTATGAGTGGCAGTTGGTATTTCAGATTGGGATCCTGCAAGGTTTTTGGAAACTTGCTTTGCTTTCGATCTCCATTGGAACCTCCTGAGTTTAGGACGAGGAAGAGGACTGTGATCACCACTACAGATATCCCAATTAGCACAGGTGCTGTCTGCAAAATACACATTAAACACGTTATTGGCACAATTGGTTTATGGTTGAAATGAGTTTTGTAGGCAAATATAAATTATAATTTAATACAAAATATAGGTAAATTAAATGTATATTTATAGTAAAAATATAAGTAAATGTATGTGTAAATTATAAATATAAATCAAATGTTTAATTAAATATTGTAATTATTATCTTATATTACAATTTAAATAGTTTTTTATGCAGGATATGGACTTGATGGTGTTTAATTTATTATTTAAATATTAAATTTAACAAAATTCATCCTAATTTAACTAATTCAACATGTCGACACTACATAACCACCACACGTGCATTGTTTTAATGACTTCACTGTTATTCTACATTCTAACTAGTTTTGTACACAAATATAAAATGTAATATTTATAAAAAATGTAAGTATATATATATATATAATTTAAATATATATTAAGCATATTATATAATACTATTAAGTTAATTTGTTATTTAATTATTTAACATTATTTAACAACTTGCATTTATTTTGATAACTATAATTCTAAAAATGTGAAAAGCGGTCTAGTAATAGAGTAGGTGTGTTTAAACATTTGATAATAAACAGAGCAATTAACACTAAACTATTGGCATATTGTGCTACATTCAACACTGATTTGATAACCTGCATATGTCTGTAATTACATCTCACCTTCTTTCCACTGCTGTCATTCTAACCAGAATAAAATCAACAGATAAGTGTGAAACTGACATGGAGGACAAGCAAGGTGCTAATTGCTTTTTGCAAGGCAGAGTGAGGAAGAAATACATTTATGAATGTAAAGGGGGGGAAATACTCACTAGAATTTGATCCATGCTGCAGTCTTATTCCTCTAATGTGCTGTATCAGTTAATATGGTCAGGGTTCACTGTATGTGAGGTAAAAGTTGTTCATGGTTCATCTCTTTCCTGTATTCCAACCTTTGCACCAAGGCTAGTTAATAGTAGAAGAGTACAGAGAGTTAATGAAATGCAGCCAACAGGAGTTGGTGGTCTCAGCCAATAGGAATAGAATATTTAAATGAGCAGAGCATTGCCTATGGTTCTTCATGTGTGTCTGTGAATGGTGTGGGATCACCCCACTGCCTGATGTCACATTCAGCGGGATGGGTCAAGGAATCTCCTCAAGTACAGCACATTAGGCCAAGGCAGTTAGAGTAATAAAAACAAAAATGCCGGACATTTTTGAAGCTTTAAAATATATTTATTCAAGTTAGCCAAGGTTGTCTAAACAATTTAAAGTCCCCCTGTTGTCAATATTTTTTTATTCCTTAAAACTAATCTTTGTTTATACCAAAATAACATATTTTTTTAATAAAATCCTTGAAAAAAAAATATATTCATGCCTTAAAATAGCTTGAATATAACTCTACACCCTTGCCTCATATGGTTCTATGAATATACAAATTATCCCCGCCTCCACTCACTCGCACCAGCTGAGAGACCCACTCATTGACGATCACACATTGACGTGATTGGCTACAAGATAGTTTGTGACGTCAGAAACACCAGCGATTTGAAACCGCGTTTTTGAGACTGTCTTTGGTTCACTGCAGTTTTAAGTAGAAAATAGTCAATGGTGTTGACTTATGCATTTGCACATGGTTCGTCTTAAAGCACATTAAAACACAACATAGACATATAAACAACATTAAAAACTTGATTTTCACCACTGAGGGACTTTTGCACCACAGAGCATTTTGACTTCAGAACAAAATAATTCACAAAAATATATTGAATTCTGCTAATTCAGGATTTTCACTCAGTGTCCAAATGCTTTGAGATCCAGTTCATGACAGCTGGTACTGAAGAATATACTGCAGGCTTCTGGATCCCACCACAAGGTCCTCCCCAACTCTTCACTCCCATCAGAACAACCCCAGATGTGTTTGTCTGACAGACGAGAGGTCCACCGTTCCAATGAGTCTGTGAAAAGGTCAGAAATTGACTAGCAAAATAGCTACTACCAGTTTTTTTGTCTAGTCTCTGAAATGTGCAATTCCAGATGAAAATTTGCTGCATCAAGTGACATAGTTCTCCCCCAAAAAATCATTCATACAATGGTCACCAAAACTGTTCGGCTACCAACATTCTTCAAAATATCTTCATATGGACTAGTGATTTGTCACTATGTTGCCTGACATTCTGCCTAACATCTTTTATTGTTACAATAAAGAAGGTCATAGGTTATGCAACCGAAATAACATACTCTTTAGGTACTTCTTTTGAATAAGTAATTACTTTGCAACAGTTCAAAATTTTTTTTGTATATATAGTGTATACAGCATATGTGTAGGATGAATCCAATCTGGACATAGGCCTACATCCGTGACCGTGATGTTGTCATTGTCATGTGATTTACGGCATCAGTTACGTCGGCTGTGTTAGAAAGCGCCCCCTATACACTCATTCACTATTCCCTACATTACTCCACTAATATAGTCCACTTGAAGGAGTGAATGAAAACGAGTGAATAAATTCGGACACTGGGTGTGCCAGAAGGGCTGCCGCTTTTGCACAGTTTGTGTTTTTGATGTTTAATAATCATTTAAAACATAGCAAACTGGCAGCTCCAGTAGTAATGAAAAAATGTATCTTGAACTATGTCATGTAAACTAGCATGTATAAACCTTAATTAAACGATTAAAAAGTCATCAATATCTGTATGATATTATGCTGTAGCCACATTGGACCATCGGTTTAGAAAATGGATGGATGGATGATTCAGCCATATATACACTCACCTAAAGGATTATTAGGAACACCATACTAATACTGTGTTTGACCCCCTTTCCCGTTTCATAACTGCCTTAATTCTACGTGGCATTGATTCAACAAGGTGCTGAAAGCATTCTTTAGAAATGTTGGCCCATATTGATAGGATAGCATCTTGCAGTTGATGGAGATTTGTGGGATGCACATCCAGGGCACGAAGCTCCCGTTCCACCACATCCCAAAGATGCTCTATTGGGTTGAGATCTGGTGACTGTGGGGGCCATTTTAGTACAGTGAACTCATTGTCATGTTCAAGAAACCAATTTGAAATGATTCGAGCTTTGTGACATGGTGCATTATCCTGCTGGAAGTAGCCATCAGAGGATGGGTACATGGTGGCCATAAATGGATGGACATGGTCAGAAACAATGCTCAGGTAGGCCGTAGCATTTAAACGATACCCAATTGGCACTAAGGGGCCTAAAGTGTGCCAAGAAAACATCCCCACACCATTACACCACCACCACCAGCCTGCACAGTGGTAACAAGGCATGATGGATCAATGTTCTCATTCTGTTTACGCCAAATTCTGACTCTACCATCTGAATGTCTCAACAGAAATCGAGACTCATCAGACCAGGCAACATTTTTCCAGTCTTCAACTGTCCAATTTTGGTGAGCTCTTGCCAATTGTAGCCTCTTTTTCCTATTTGTAGTGGAGATGAGTGGTACCCGGTGGGGTCTTCTGCTGTTGTAGCCCATTCACCTCAAGGTTGTGCGTCTTGTGGCTTCACAAATGCTTTGCTGCATACCTCGGTTGTAACGAGTGGTTATTTCAGTCAAAGTTGCTCTTCTATCAGCTTGAATCAGTCGGCCCATTCTCCTCTGACCTCTAGCATCAACAAGGCATTTTCGCCCACAGGACTGCCGCATACTGGATGTTTTTCCCTTTTCACACCATTCTTTGTAAACCCTAGAAATGGTTGTGCGTGAAAATCCAAGTAACTGAGCAGATTGTGAAATACTCAGACCGCCCCGTCAGGCACCAACAACCATGCCACGCTCAAAATTGCTTAAATCACCTTTCTTTCCCATTCTGACATTCAGTCATTCAGTTTGGAGTTCAGGAGATTGTCTTGACCAGGACCACACCCCTAAATGCATTGAAGCAACTGTGATTGGTTGATTAGATAATTGCATTAATGAGAAATTGAACACGTGTTCCTAATAATCCTTTAGGTTAGTGTGTGTGTGTGTGTGTGTGTGTGTGTGGATTAAGCTGCGGGCACCATCTTCTGGCGAGACGCGGGAATTCATTCGGGGCGACCGTCACAGTGAATTATGGGTATTCTCTAGCCGTCGAGAGTACACCTAGTTGTACACTCAATTGCACTGCATTGTGGGATTGAATGAGTGCACTCAATAACGTCCATGGTTTCGGACACCACTGCAAATGGCTGTCCCCTCAAATAGTGCCTTATTTAAGGGTATATGGGGTGATTTTGGACACCGCGAGGCGTCTCTTCTCTCCCATTCATAACTCCTCTCCCATGGACTCATGGGATAGTAAAGTGTACATTGGATGCACACTTCAGAATCTCGCTGGAATAATAGGTAATTCAGGTACTTTGCTGCTACAGCTTAATTAATGAATACTGTGTGAATTAGTACATACTATTCTTTTTACATACAGTTTTTCGCCTATAAAGTAGGGAAGTATGCATATTCAGGCGCAGCCACAGTCTCTTCCAAATACCGCCCTATTGATCACCACAAGCACACATCAAGTGGTTTTGGACAGAGCAGAGCACATTTAAGAGTCTTTACTTAACTTACCCACTAGAGGTCAGTATTTCTTCAATTGCATTCCCTACTAGTAAACAGTAAGTGTTTAGTGTAGTTCACAGTAGGCCTACAGCTCCAGTCCTCACCATGCATGATTCTCCAGTGCTCAGTCCAGCACATAACAAAGTAGGTGTCAATCTAGTTCCGTGTTGTTGTTCACACACCGCTCGTTCCAGCACAGATATTTTTAGCCATACAGGTCTGTGCTGCCCATGTCCTGCTAAAAAGAATGCATAACATTCACCTAAAGATCCACAGAGAGCAAAATGTGCAACAGAGAAAATGACGCTGTTCAAGTGACATTCAAGTTCTGAAAGTTCCACTCTAGGTCAACAAGTATTCGTGAAATGTCATGTTTGCTTATGATGCACACACACATATCAAAATCCTCCAGACTATTGTGTAACCATCGCAGCGGTCAACTCGTGAAGGCAGATGGGTGACGTACACATTTGGCTGGTCCAGCAGCGGAGGGAGGGTGAGATGTCCTGTCCAGCAGAGGGTAGACAGACAGGCTGCGTGCTTTCACTGAGATTTATCGGAGAGCTCAACTGAAGCAAAGCCACATTAAATTCGAGAGAGGATGGGTTGTAATAAGGGTTTACGTGTACTCTGATCACATCACGGGTCTGAAAAGAGATCTCATTTACTAAGGAGAATTTTCATTTTTTGGGTGAACTGTCCCTTTAAAGACACAAAATCAACATCTTTAGTTCCTGGAACAACATTCCTGCCTATTTCCTGTTGGTGGGATGTTGATTTAGCTACTTCACCTGTTTCTTTGAGCCTTCTGTCGTCACTGATACAATTCTTAGAAGTCTTTCTTCCCTACAAAGAAATCAACATAAAAAGTACTTTTAGTATAGTGCCTTCATAAACAAGTATATTGTGTATTCAAAAGTTTTAATGTCTTTTTCAAAGTTAATGCATGTGCACGGCTCTAGAAACTATGGAGCCCCTAAAGGTGTCACTTTTACCCTTGCTCTGCAAAAAAACAGGCGAGATCCAGTTATTAAGAGAAGATGTGGAGTTTCTTGTGAAGGCAATAAAGTTCCCCACGCAGATTTCGCTCAAGTTGGTCACCCGAATTCGCAACGCTGACCAACAGAAAGCTTCTAGAATGAAAGTGACTTCTGTGAGAGTGCTGCTTCATACATCTCTACACAATAGTCAATGGACAATGAACCGGTTTTTGCCTGAAAATTTGCTGGAATTTTGGTAATGTGACCGCACCTTAAAGGGCCATGGTAATGATAAAAATAATAATAATAATAAGATGGGAGGAAAACTTAAAATGAAATTGTTTTGCACTCTCACCATTGCCTTTCCCCGAGAAACGTTGTGCAAAAGTTTTGTAGAACGCAAATGTTTTACGCAAATATCATATATTTCCCGCCCAACTGGTTTTTTCATCACCGTGTCCCCTTAGGGGCTCCATTAGATACAGCCTTTTATAACACTTCTGGCATGTCGGCTGCTCACAGGTCATAGACACAGTGTGCATCAGTAAGGATCCATTGTGACTGGATGATCGCCCCGCTGCAGTCGTGGCCTGCACCCAGACCAATGCTCACGTGCCACAGCCATGGCAGTTTCCCATCATCCTCTTCTCTCCTCAGGGCGTCCATTCCAGAGCCAGCAAAGATATCAGTCATTCCACACGGAGCTGAGAAGTCAGTGGAACGCAAGCATGAATACTTGATGTAAAACCAAATACACCTACACAATCTGTTCAGAGAAACATTCTCATTTGTGACTCTGAATACGTGTATATTCCCTTATTTTCCACATTTTTTTGGCTCCAGCTGGATTCCACACATTCTAAAGGCCCTCTGAGACAAAGAGCCTATTTTAAAGTGGAGAACACAAAGAACAAACCAGCCTGCAAATGTGGCGAGATAACTCTGCTGTCATAATCGGCTTCCTCCCCCTGATCTTGATATGCTGTCTTTTGGAGATCTGTGAGGAAATGTAATATTCAAGAAGAAAGGCTTAGTAAGTTGAGTAAGTTGAGATGTATAAACAGTTGTGCCTTTGTTGTATCATGTACTAAATATTAAATACATGTACTATATTATATACATATAATTATATTATCAATAATCAATAGAAAACCTAAATTGATACATGAATTTGAGATTTTATATGTAGCCCTGCCCTCCACATAATGTTTCCACATAATGTTTATCATATGTCTTATATAGCCTCATATATAATATGATAAACTTTCTGTATAAACGCATGTATAGATTGCAAAACAATTCAACTTTACTGTTGACCTTTGAGGTAGTATAAATAGTAGTTAGTTAGCTAGTGTGTTTATACTGTGGCATACTATTTGCACACGTGAGTTACATGTCTGCACAAGGTTTGGTTGTGTGACATTTAAACACCTGCAGTGAGTGTTTCTTTGCTAATGTTGACTCTCACCTTTTTCGTTGATAAAAGAAAGGGTGGCGATGAAGCCACGGGCGGAGATGGTGTTATCTGTGCTGAACTGCAGAAGCATTATGGAACCGTAGCTGAGAACAGCCGGAGGAACGCTCCTGCCACATACAACCACTTAAAACACAAAAATTATAATAGCAGAGCATTTGAAAACTAAATTTCCCATAATGCCGCAGTGCAAAATGTTCCTGTGTAACTGATAACAGTGTGACACTGTAACACACACAGTGCATGTAACATTAAACTGTCAACTCTAATGTTTACATTATTAAAGATAAAATAAAACCGATTCGTTTTATTTTAAAATGTACACTGTCGTTCAAAAGTTTGGGTAGATTATTTTTTTGAAAGACATTAATACTTTTATTTAGTAAGGATGCATTAAATTAATCAAAAGTGTCAGTAAAGACATTTTATAATGTTTTTAAAGTTTTATTTTCTAAATGGTTTCTTTTCATCAAAGAATCATAAAAAAAATGTTTCCACAGAAATATTAAACAGCAACTTTTTTCAACATTGATAATAATAATAAAATGTGTGGTGGTCACACTTTAGTTTAGGGTCCAATATTAAATAAATATTAACTATGACTTTTGCCTCAAACTCTATATACTAATTAAATAAACTAATTACTGCTTATTAATAGTTAGTGAGGAAGTTGTTAAGTTTAGGTAGGATTAAGGGAATATGGTCACCCAGAATAAGGCATTAATATGTGCTTTATAAGTACTAAAAAACAGCCAATATCCTATAGTAATATGCATGTGAATAAGCAATTAGTTAATAGTGAGAATTAAACCCTAAAGTGTTACCAGAAATGTAGTATTTTCAAATCATAAAAATAATAATATTACTGTTTTAGTGTATTTTTAATTAAATGAATGGAGCCTTAGTGAGCAATACATTTATTTTAAAAACATTAAAAAATGTAATCATCTTTTTGTACTTTACCTATTTCATCCATGCCATCAATGTCTCCGAACACTGTGAGTGAATCATATTGGCAGTTTTCTGACTCCTCAAGGTCAAAGTCATCAAAGTCAAGCTTTAAGACACATAAAGTTACTTGCAATTAGCATGTTAGCATATAGCAAACAGAGTGAGATGATCATGAACACAGAATGGCCCAGTCAGGCGTTTCTGTCATTGTTAATGCCTAAAATCGTTTAGGCCAAAAAATGTATGAAAGGTTCTTAATTTGAAACAATCTAGAGCATTTTGTAAACAGCAGGTAACAACCAGTGTTACATGACTGCAGTGACGTCATAACGTCGCTCTTTGGAGTCTAATTGAGTATCACATTCTCTTTTGCAGTGAAACTGATCAGAGCCTCCAATCTAAATGCATGCATGCATTCATGACCGGACAGAGAGGTCATGACTGGACAGAGGGGACACCAGGCGCTGACTGGGCCAACAACAGGGCTACAGGGTTGTTTTTACCTTGACTATGTGGCCTTCTGGGGCATAGATGACCCAGTGGCAAAGGCTGTTGTTCCTGTAGGCATTTGGGTAGGCGGGGCTCCGCACAGCCCCCTTGGGCTCTAACAGCACCACTGTTCCACATTCAGCTCCTGCACAAACACAAAAGGAGAAACTGGTGGAATGGAGCCCAGCCAATGGCATTGCAGCATGGTGTCACATTTCTGTATGGCAAGGGTCATACTGACGGGAGCAGGGTGGTGATTTGAACCTGGCTCTTACCTTCTCTGAACTTGCCACTGGTAGATGGCCCCCTGGCAGACATGTAACTATAGTAACGGTCCTATTGAGATAAGCTCTCTGCTCTCCGAGGAGCCTATCTGAGCGGCTGCAGTGTGAAAACAAAATTCTACTGGGGAATGTTAGCTTGCCTCTCAACCTGACTGGGTGGGGAAATTAACACACTTTGCAGACCAGGTCATGGAACTGATAGATCATTTGGGCACAACCTGTGCTGCTAAGGAGAGCACAATTAGGATGAACATTTTTTTAAATAAGAGAACTGTGGATACACAGACGTGTAAATGGACAATGCTCGAAAACTACATCATCAGGCATGTGCAAGCAAGTATGCTAATCACGCACACAGTATGCAAGCAAGCATGCTATTCCAAGCATCCACGCAATGTATGCATGGTGATCGCCAGGGGCTACAATTGCACACCTCATTCTGAATTGGACTGTCGCCAAACAGGCTTGTGCATACAGATTTCTTCAATCATTGTTTTGTCCCTTTCAGGAAACATTGTTGACTTTTTTTTAGAGCAGGAGAAACCAGTCAGACAGATTAAACTCACCAAAACTGAAATCCTCGCCAACACCACTGATCTGGATGGCAAATCCTGCACCTGTGCTGCTTACATCTGATACAAACTGTACTGTGACACTATGGGAACCACCAATAAGAATTGGAGAGGGTGGTTGACCGCCACAGAACCGCCCTGGTAAGCAAGGTCACAAGGTGAAACATGCAACCACTTGCAGAAGGTAAAAGAACAGCAAAGTTATAGTTTCTGTTAATGCTTCCCCCATCACCTATTCGCCTGTCTTCATTTACATTCACAGTCAGATGATCACTTTGGCACTGTGTGTCATTCTCCAAGTCAAACTCCAAGAACTCCAGAAGAATACGTTCACCAATGGCAACTCGAATGGACCACAAACACATTCTGCACCAAAAAAATTAAAACATAAGTTGCTGTGAAAGTTTCAGTTTTTGCCTTTTGGTTGCAAATATGTAAAATACTTCAGATGTAACTCACTCATTGTGGTTGTAGCTTTGCCCTGAATGAGCTGGATTTCTGATAATGCCTTCATTTCCAGGTACAACTCCGTCTGGTACACTGCACAGGGACCTTTCCACACCTACACTGAGTTCTGTAAGCAAGTAATCATTTATTTAAAGGGTCTTGCAGTGCTCTTACTTATTGAAACTTGGGGTTAGCCAGCCCACATTGTATAGCGGCCCACTGGGAAAACTCCAGGTACTCCAGATGGCCAGTCCGCCCTTGGTAAGGTGTCTTGCTCGAGAGCAAATGGTGATTGATCAGCTCTTGCTGAACCTACATTGTTTCAGTTATTAGGCTAGGACCAACTCGACAACAATACCCACCTTTCCTAAGATTTGACTTGATCCATGACAGAAACATTAAGACATCAGTGAATATTCCAGGTGAGCCTCTTTTGGATGATGGTTTGAAATTGTTGTCATTCCAGCTTCGACCACAGCCCTTACCCCATGACGTGACCCCCACAGCCACCCAGCTTCCATCTTCTCTAGGGCAGAGGAGAGGACCCCCAGAATCCCCCTGGAGCAAAAGAGGGCAGATAGGAACTCAAAACAGAGAGTGGCAACTTGCAAGAGCTTAAACCATCTCTGCCGACCTGAACCAGAGGAGTCCCATATAGGTGTAATATTCAGGACGTTAGAGAATCAATGTCAATGTTAGGTAAACAAATTTGGTGTCAACTTACTTGACAGGCATCTCTCCGACCTCTCTCTGGGCCAGCACACAGGACTGTGAAGGTCTTCTGCTCAGGTCTAAGAGTTTGCAGGACATGTTTGCACTTGCTTTGCTTTAACAGGTCCAGATGCACCTCTTGAAGAACCAATGGAAGTGGCCCTCCTAAAGAGAGGATAACACTTTTTTAATACCTTAATTATAGTAATGGTTTGAGATATTTGATATATTTCTCCCAATTGTTATTTCAATGTTATTCAAGTGGCCTCTCACTCTCAGTAATACGACCCCATCCACCAACAACACACATGGTCTTGGGTGGAAACCTCTCACCAGAATGAGGCAGACAAACAGGTTTAATGAAATCATCTGTCAAGAAAACACACATATGTTCATCTCTGATTCTATAGCGGATATATTGCATAAGTTAGTCTCATAAAACAACTTGCCAAAGTGAATGCGTCCATTGATCTCAAGCAAGGCGATGTCGTAGCTCATGGGAGAGGTGCGTTGATATTTTTCATGGAACATTGCAGTCTTTATGTGGAAGTTCTGCTCCCCTCTGTCAACTTTTCTTTGGTTGAATTCACCTGCTACAGTCTCAATATTGTGAAGGAATTCCCTAGGGCAAGCAGTTATATTCAAAAGTAGGTCATTTAAGTGTTGACAGGGTCAAAAGTTATGATTAGTCATGGTTAAATGAGTGGACCTACGCGGATACACTTGCAAAGCAGTGAGCAGCAGTCAAAAGCCAGTGGTCTGTCAAGATGGCTGCAGCGCAGAAATGCGATCCTCTGATCCTAAGAGACACCTGTAGATGATTGTGAAATAGATTTTTGCACACTGATATATCTACAGCATGCCTTTTGGAAATAAAATTAAGTATCATGCGATTTGTAAAGATGAACAGTTACGTGCCAGCCACGGATGGGAACCTCGTCTAGCCTCTGACCCTCCAACTATTCTCAAAGAACGGTCAAGTATGCCTCTTGACTTAGTAGATCCGCACTTTGCTTCTGCATATAAAGTGACAGGACAAATGTTTGTCATTCATTTGTGGCTATTCCACATAAAATTGAATGAAACATTTTCTTACCACTGAGATGAACAGCATAGGTCATTTCGAGACAACCCAACAAGCTGAGAAAGCCAACAAAGGTCCTGTAGGATAATTCAGACATTCTGTGTCCTCTGCTGTCAAAGACTAAGATTGGGGTATTTATAGAGGTGATAGAGGGGTGGTCTTTTGGGGTGGTTACTCATTAACTTTACACAGGAAACAGGCATGTGGAACAGAAGATTTGCATTGTGAGTAGCTTTGTTACCCAAATTTTAAACCTAGACCCAAGGATAGTTTAACAGTCTACTAATATTAAGGATCTAAATCGAACTTAAATATTTTGTGCATCTGTGTGTCTAATTAATTAGCCTATACGGTTTCCTAAATGTACAAGGAGCATCCGCAGAAAAAAGTTTTACAGTTTGTGATTCAGCCGAAAGAGAAAAGCTCCTGACAATGCTTCCCTCAATGACCAGATTGACCTTTTAATCTAAAGGTTTATTGGAAGTTGTTGGATTTTTACACTCTCAGAGTCTTAAGGCTTAAAATTGTGTACTAACATACTATGTGTAACAAATATAGAATTATTAACCAAATTAAGTTACTAGGCTACTTATTTACATTATATATAAATAGATTCTTTCTCTTGTATAGATTCTTTAAATTAATCCAATTCTAGTCGTTTATGAAGGGAAATGGACATTATTTGTTGTATTCTGTTATGAGTTTAATGTGTATGTCTGCCGATTATTATTGCACTTACCATGAACTAGAGAAACTTTACAGTATGTTAGTATTTTCAGTCATTCTGATAACTGCCACATTTAGTGCAATTTCCTGCATTAGACACTCTTAAATGAAAGAATTGGGAATTCATGTCTTAGATGCAGACAGCAATGGCAATGTGCATGTGTCAGAGAATTTACACAAACCAGAGGTCTAGTAAACAGTAGGGGAGCTCTTCTTGACACAAAAGACAATTGTTGCAACTTGCAAGATGATGGTAGGAAGCTCACCACTGGCACCGACGACACCAGACCAAACAAGGGCGAGTGTCCTGTTTTAAAATTGTCAACACATTTGTGCGTTTGTCTGCAGAGAACAAACGCTAAAGGCAGTTAAGTAATTCATCTTGCAAAAATAATCTTAAACAAATTGACTTGTCAGGTTCAGTCTAGTCAAACATGGTCACAAATCACTCCAAAAATAAGCTACAGGGAGAGAGAAAGATAAGAATGCATATGCTTTTCGAACCAAACAGCCAACAGTTTTCGAAGTAAATGCATCTTTTCCCTGCCCTTTAATAACTCTACATGTAATTATTCTGCCTATTTTTTGATATGATGGAGATTGACTCGTGATAAACTGAATGACTTAAATGATAGCCTACCCTTTTCAGTATGTTCTATAATCTATATATAGAAGTTAACATTTGAAGTGGACCAAAACCTTTCATCAAAGTTATACATGAATAAGTAATTCATCTTGCAAAAATAATCTTAAACAAATTGACTTGTCAGGTTCAGTCCAGTCAAACATGGTCACAAATCACTCCAAAAATAAGCTACAGGGAGAGAGAAAGATCAGAATGCATATGCTTTTAAGAATATGAATGCATATGGAATCTTTTGAGCCATGTTACCTGGCCACCACAGTAAACCAAAGGACAGCTGTTAAGAGAAGCCAGAAAAACCAGAAATGCCTTGTTTTATGGAGACTGACAGAAGCCAGAAAAACCAGAAATGCCTTGTTTTATGGAGACTGACATCATTTTTCTGTTGAGAACTCACAACCCCTCGTCCCAGTATTTGCCAGTAACTCGATTTGCTCACTGGATTCTATGTAAGTTACTGAAAAGCTTAAGTTACACTGAATGATGATGATTCATTTTGTTCTTAAGTCACTTGAAAATGGTTCAAACTGACAAGAAAATTATCAATCAGAATCGTTTTGCTTATTTTTCGGGAAGTGACGAGCTGTTTTTGACATTAGTTTGTTTAGTTGCATTGTGGGTAAAATGTAGCCTGTAAACTGTCATATTCAGGTTGTCGAGCTACAAACTTTGATGCCTTACAACGGTGGCCATGTTTAAGGATTATACGCCTATAAATGCTTAATGCTATAGGAATTTACAGTACAATTAGAGAAGCACTATTATTATGGAAAATATCCCTACTCCTAAGGTTCTAACCAGAACCAGTCAAACTCTCACCAGCGAATATACACCAAATATGAATAATGATACAAATCTTTTTGCAAATAGAATCATCACGAATGGACGGTATTCCTGGCGCGTGGTGGGTTATGACGTCTGTTCTCCTCTGAGACGCATCATCTGGCAACCCATCATCAGTCAGTTCCTCTCTCAGCGAAGCTAAGCTACATCACTGCGTTTCCCATCACAGCTGGATAGAGCACCAGAGCCCTCGGATCAACGCGCAAAAACAGTGCGGGGAAAATAGATTAAACATTACAGGTAAGCGCACGTGTTTTTCACGGTTAAATCCTTTGTTGCCTTGTTTTTCCTAAGCGCAAAATTAAGTGTGCACGTTTTTAGAGAGTGAATGCTAGCCGTTAGCACACTTTCGCATGCGCGGTTTTTAGCGCCGCGCCGGTGTGTAGAAAATCCTCCCTGAAAGACGCACAGCTGGAAAGTAATGCTTCAACTATATTTTGTTTAAATTCACAATTTTGTTCGAGAAATAACATTTTGTTTCCATTTCAAATTGGTGACCATAAACAGTTTTTTTTCTTCGTTTAAAGAGTTCGTGGGTATATTTAAACATATGTGAATGTCTGTTGAAACTTATAAGACTTGTATTGCAGTGTGTGTTCTTTATTAATAATGCACAGTTATTAAATGTGTATATATCGGATTCCCCTATTGTCTGCAATTAGGCCTATGTTGTAATATTGATTGTCATCTCCCCATATGCTTTCAAAACATTTTAAGCATAAATAACGAAACACTACAGTTTGTGCGACCAGTGAGGTTAAAATGTTAATTTTAGGGGGCGCGTGAGCTTCTTATTAAACGTGACGCATGTGTCATTTGTGCTCGCGCTCAACGCGGTAGTGATGATGATTGTGATAACGTGATTCATCCATAGACAGTAAAAGAATCATCACACTCAGTGATTCGAATCGTTTGCTCACCAAAAGATTTGTTTAGCTGATTCGTTCATTCACTCTTTCTGCACGTCACGGCGTTATGCCTGTAGGTGGCGACAAAAGTGTCTGCCTTTTTGCGTTTGAACGAGTCATTGAGTCATTTACTCAACTGATTTGTTAACCTAACATTCGTTCAATTACAAAACAAATCCTTTATTATTCTGCATGTTTGTTAAACTACTAAGCGACTCAAAAAAGAGTATTAAAGCATCTTTTCCCTGCCCTTTATTAACTCTACATGTAATTATTCTGCCTATTTTTGATATGATGGCGATTGACTCGTGATAAACTGAATGACTTAAATGATAGCCTACCCTTTTCAGTATGTTCTATAATCTATATATAGTAGTTAACATTTGAAGTGGACCAAAACCTTTCATCAAAGTTATCCATGAATTTTTGAACAATACCTGTTCTTGTCTTAGGTAGGACAACTTTGATTAACTTTTTTGATGCACTTCAAATGTTGACTAGTACTGTAGTATGAATGTGTGTGGTATGAATGTAATCTGGACGTACTACATTCGCCATGTTGTCATTATCATGTGACCTACCAGCATCATTTGCGTTTGCTTCACTACCATTCACCAATCATCTCCTGTGGCCTCAGAATCTCACTGGGTAGTAGGTCATCTGGGTACTTTTTGCCTACTGTTTTATGAGCACTGTGAATTCGGACATAGGCCTACTTCTTTTGTCACATACTGTTTTCGCCTGCTATATAGTAGGGAAGTATGAGATTTCGGATGCAGCCAGTCACTCTGAGTCAGACTCAAAACACTGACTTGTTCAATAAAGGTGTATTCATTCAACAAGTCCAACCAATGAACAGCTCATTCCCATACCCAATTGTTAATTTCTTGTTCCATAGTTTTTAAAGAGAGAAAAGCAGTCATGCGCTTCAAAACAGAGAGTAAGAGGAAAATATGAGTTCTTGGAAGTAAATAAGTGATTTGTTCACTTGACAGATTTGTTTTGATTTGGATGGCAGGGTTTATTTGAACAATTTCTGTCTGTATCCCTGATTTTTCTACTTTTAAAATAGTTCATTCTGCATATTTCAGTAACATGCTGTTTCGTGTGGATGAACATCCCCACTGTGTTGTTTTGATAAGGATCACAAGATGCAAAGGCAGTGCAGTCTTGTGACAACACCAATTTATTTACTGTCACTGTATCTTTGAATCTGTACTTCAGTACTTAGGTCTATTGGTGTAATGTTTTACTATGCACACGATATTCGATCCCATTAGCTTTGAGGTTAGGCTCTTACTTGGTTAGGTACTTTTGGATAGGCTCTTAATGGAAAGCTTAATGCTAAAGCACTCCTGACCATATTCATTCTGTTGATGGTATTTGTTTACATACCTCTTACTTGTTACAGTTGTTCAGTTCCTCAGGTGCCCATGTGACACATGAATTATTCAAACTGAGGATGTGGGATCTAGGATCAATTTGCATCTGGTGTACATGAAAGGGACATGATCATGTCAGATGTTTCCATATAGAATTCGGAAAAAGTTGGTGAGATTTGCATTCTTGAATTCACGATCACGCATATTCTGTGTATAGGGAGGGAGTGGCAGTACTGACCACACATTTCACAAGATTAAATTAGTCTATGCTCAGGATCTGTTGCACACCAAATCCTGACAGTTATCTCTCCTTATTATCATCATGTGATGGGTGAAATCTGACTGTGCTGTGACTCTGCAGCTCGTACTTTATGGAGCAGAGTAGAGTTGTCAAAAAGAAATTGTCAAAATACTGAAATTTCAAAATGTGACTACCAGCATTTCCTTCTAGCATTTTGAGCACTGTTGAACGGGTTCTTAAAGGGATAGTTGTAGGACTGCACGATTAATCGCAATTTCCATGTAATCGCACTTTAAATCGAGATGGCTTATCGCGATTTTGAAATCGCTAATGCTGCGATTGTTTTTTATGCGGAGATTGTCATTGATGAACAGCTCGTAAACACGGCTCCATCTGAAAGCACTGTGAGTTTGAGTCACTTATAGTGTGCATTCGAAAAAGCAACACAGGTCAAACATCTTTTCAAACATGAGAAATGAGAATCATTATGAACCTCCTGTCCAACAAAAGACAACATTTTAATAACATGCTTTACTCCAAACTCAATCCATAACGACAGTTGAGCATCCTTCTGTTAGATGATGTGGCTTCTTCTTACACAGAATAAGGCAGTCGTGTATTTATAAGTCATGTTTATCAACAATTAAAGCGTTTAAATCTTATGTTTATTCAGCTACAGTGATGATGCCCGATAGGGATTTCCCGGAATTATGTGTGGTGTTGTACTTCTGCTGCGGGGCATATTTGGCGTGTCTGCATGAGAGCGCCCTCTGGCATTCAGATGAACCAGCATTTCCTAATCCAAATAAGTGACAAAATAGCGCAAACATTTTCCTATTTACATGTTGTGATTTGTATAGTCACAGAGTGTACAAAAAACAAAGTCACATGAGACAGACATATTTTAACCGTATAAATACTGGGAACTATATTCTCTGAAGGCGAAGCACTGCTACTTGGGCGGAGTGATAACCGCAGCACCTGAGACGAGCCGTGGTGAGGAGCAGAGAGCGCGTCTCAGGTGCTGCGGTTATCACTCCGCCCAAGTAGCAGTGCTTCGCCTTCAGAGAATATAGTTCCCAGTATTTATACGGTTAAAATATGTCTGTCTCTCATGTGACTTTGTTTTTTGTACACTCTGTGACTATACAAATCACAACATGTAAATAGGAAAATGTTTGCGCTATTTTGTCACTTATTTGGATTAGTATGCTAGCTGCAACCATTTACATCCAGTCTTTGTGCTAAGCTAGGCTAGCGGTGGGTGCGTCAAACAGACTTATAGCACGCACGGAGATGAAAAAGGTATGTATGGACTTATCTAACTCTGGGGGATAAGGTGAATAGGCTAAAGTCCCAAAAAGTCGGAGTGTTCCTTTAAATGGCAATGAAGATTACCTATTAATTGTCATTTGAGTGAAATTACTGAACTTAAATATACAAGCTTCATAAAAATGATCATTCGAGAAGAAAATTTCAAATGGCACTTAGAGGCTTTTGCATCTGAACTCTTCATATATTTATTTGTATAATATTTGAGTTTTGAAGTGCTGGAAAAAGATGTGTGAAGTACTTGAAAGCATTTCACTATTCCAGCCAAACTGGTTACATTTAGTGTTACTATATTAAATCCATGGTGAATGTTGCTGGTCTGTGGACGTAAAGTATTACTAGTTCATTCACGGCACAATATTTCTCCTGGTTTCCACGTCAGCGCTGTTTGATCTAATAGAGATCTGCGGATAATTACGGAGAAATGTGAATGCTTCTCACTAGATCTCGCAGCGATGGTATTACTTCAGTGGCGAATTCAAATGTTTTCTTTACTGGATCTTAGCGCTGTGTTGTAGTGTCGCTTGATCAAGACCGGTGCGCGCTGCACAGATGTTGCTGGTCCGAACTGATAAACGATCCGTGAAGCACATAAGTAGCGCAGTTTCGTTCCGCTTTCATTACGCTTGCCATTTGATGTTGCGCAACGTTGTGGTGGTCGCGCCAGCGCGAATTTTGTCGACAGGAAAAATGGTCCAAGGATTCGTTCGGTTTGTATGTGTACCGAACCGGAAGCCTCGAACCGAAACGGTTCAATACGAATACATGTACCGTTACACCCCTACTACCGATCAGCCGCACTGCAACTACAAGCTGCGCATAAAATAATCGCAAATCGCGTTGCGGTTTTGATGCAATTAATCGTGCAGCCCTAGATAGTTTACCCAAAAATGAAAATTAGCCCATGATTTACTCACCCTGAAGCCATCCTAGGTGTATATGACATTCTTCTGTCAGGCGAATACAATCGGAGTTATATTAAAAAATGTAACTGGCTCTTCCAAGCTTAATAATGGGAGTGAATGGCTGTATGTCTTTGGAAGTCCATCAAAGCGAATGCATTCATGATTAAAGTGCTCTACGCATCTCCTGGGGTTAATAAAGGCCTTCTGAAGTGAAGCGATGCGTTCGTGGCACCGAAGTCGGTTCTTTTGACAACTTTAGAGCAGAGCAGATGCTTTCAGTTTATAATTGTAGCGTCCTTTTTCCAATTGAATTAAATGTTTCTTTATTTCTATAAAAAAAGCAAAACGACAGTAGTGGGCAAGTAATGTAATCGCTGTATGGCCGAACACCATGTAACACAGGTATCAACGACTACCGCTGCAAGCCTAGTGAGAGATCAGCTTTCAGGGTTAGAAAATGCCAACCTCTCTATAGGGACTGATTTCTTTTGCCCAGTCCCTGAACTTTCTTTTAAGCTTTGCTCCCTGACAGTTGTACGCTGTTTAATGCCAGTGTCACTGCAGAGGCAGCTTTCGGTCCTTAGTCAGAGAAGTGCTGAGTGGCTCTTGGAAAGAAATCGCACTGCACAACGTTTTGTCTCGGCTTCTGGAATAATGCACCTGACCCCTACAATTAAACCAGCGTTCATTAGTTCTAGATTGGCTGCTTGCCCTTAAGGCAAGGGCGTCAAAATAACCCATGCACTTCACTAAATGATTTTAAGAGACTTTTTGATGCAGATTTTGCCCTGCAAGTCTGGAAAGAACCCAGGATTTGCTGCCATACAGTGTCAGACTCTGGGGTGCATGCAGCTGTGGAACTTGGCATCAGTGTTATGCAGCAAACAAAGCAGCACATGGCCAGCGGGAAGTTTTTATACTGAGTGGCCTGTTTAGTGTTTACGGAAAGGATCGTATGATGTGGCTGGACACATTAGGTGAAAGTGGCAGGCTGAGATTGAAACAACATATATTGGTTCAAGCCAACGTGTGTTATGCACTCTAAAAAATCTTTTTCAATTTAACTATTTCCCCACCAGCGTTTTTGTAGTTGCCAGGCCAGCCACTGCCAGCATTTTTTCACAAAAGTTTAAATATCTGTTGTATGAATATCTGAACATTCAATATGTCAAAAGAAAGAACAGACCCACTGCTTTTAAACAAACAAAACGTTGTATTCTAGTTTCATGCAATGCTTTTTTATCGAATACTTGAACATTTTTAGCAAAAAGCTGACATCCAGATCGGATACAGTCAGAATATAATGATCAAAACATAGATGGAGCAGATCGAGTCCATCAACCCCCAACGCTTCACAGTCCTGTACCTCGTCCTGGGTCAACATTTCATTCAGTAACATTAGGCAGTTTTGATTTATATGCTGTTTAATGTTGATGATCGCATTATATTACATGCGTGATATCGCTTGTTTCTGCTTCTTATTCGTCTGTGTTTTGATCAGGAGATTCTGTACTCTTTCAGAAGATGAGTAAAAGCGCCCCCTAACGGAAATGGCGGGGAAAGAGTTAATAAACTAAATGTTCATTTAAAATTACATTTAGTCAACTTAAATATCCAAGTTGTTAATTAGTACAACTTAACTTTTCAAGTTGACTAAACGTAAAATTTTAAGGCCGCACAAACACTTACTTTAAGTTGAAACTCTTGTTTTACAGGGTGTTTAAGTGAGCCTTGTTCTGATCAAACACTGAGTGAGATTAGATTGCATCCTTTATTTTTTGGGTCATTTACATTTGACCCACATACTGTTTTTAGGCTTGCCAACTTTTTAAACTTGTCAGATAGATTAAATGATCTAGTATGCAGTACAATCTGAATCTAATCATATATGCCTTCATTTTCCAATGTTTATGGATTTAGGGCTATCTTGGAGGTTTTTAATGTAATTACTACATTATGCGAGGAAATGCATTTTAAAAAGAATTTGTATTATTGTATATAGGTATATATATGTCTTTAATGTAACTTTTTATCAGTTAAAAGCATCCTTGTTGAATAAAAACATTAATAGCCCATCTTTAAAAAAAAATCCTCCTGACCACAAACCTCTGAACAGTAGTGTATGTGATTACTTTGGCTGGGCAAGAAGAAATCTGAAGTAGAAAATTCTTCACTGTTATTTGGTTACATATTAACCCAGTATCTGCTGTGGATGAGCTGTATTAGCTTGTTATCAGTGGACAAGAGATAAGAATAGATAAGAATAATAAACTTGTGTATTTTGTTGTGATTTACTACACCATTCAATTTGTCCAATCAATTAGTAAAATGTAAAACATTTTCGTTCGATGCACCTAAAGGCCATTCAGGAGCACTTTTATTGACCCAGCTGCGGTCCTGAATAGTAATACAATACCGCCTCTTAAGTAGGCATTACAGATTTTTAAGTCTCAGGCGGTTAAGCCTTTAGTGTTCTGCAGTAATTTTGGACTGAGATCTGGGCAGGAAAGGAAGGAAGGAAGTGACCTCAGAAAATATTTACCGCAGACTAACGAAACGGCACTATTTCTAAAGCAATGGCTTTGAGCTTCTTTACAGTTCTCTATTTGGGTGAGATCCCTTGTGAAATGTGTGCATATTTGCAGTGTGATACCGTGTGGCAATGTTTCTCTTGGTCTTTTTCAGGGGTGTAACAGAGGAGGGAAGGTGCACTCAAGATGGTCACCATTCCAGAGTACTACGAGGGGAAAAATGTTCTCATCACAGGGGCTACAGGCTTTATGGGGAAAGTACTTCTGGAGAAGCTGCTACGCTCCTGTCCCGGTGTCAAAGCTGCCTATGTACTTGTCCGGCCCAAAGCAGGACAGGCACCCCATACCCGTATCTCTGACATGATCAACTGCAAGGTGAGTAAGTGCAGGCCTGGAAGATTGTTGGGGACCTTGGTTTGGTTTCTCAATTCGGGTATTTATTTATTTTAATTTTACTTTGTTGAGTGATACATTTGGCATAAAACAAGGTGATGTAGAAAATAAGTCTGTATATTTTTCAGCTTTTGAATTGATTTTTTTTCTCTCAAGTGAACAAATATTTCAACTAGGCAGTCATTTTGGCCAATTGGAATCAAAATGTTTAATTAAAAAAGCAAAATACGGTTAGAACTTGTTAAATCTATTACAATTCTACTCTGCAATGATGCATGCAAGCAAATTGTTCAAGGATAATGAATTGAACATAACTCCTAAGTTTAGGTTTACATCAAATAAAACTAGAGGCTTCTTTAATAAAATTAAAATTTTCTGTGTTACTTTAGTATTATTAATATCTTATTTTAGTATTATTTTTATATTATAGTGTTTATTAATATTTTGAATTTGCCTTTATTTTATATATATTTTTTATATAATGTTTTGTCATTATATAAAGTCATTCTTATTTGATTTAGTTATTATTCTATTTAGCTTTTAATTTTTTTTTTTTATCTTCAGTTTTTTCGACTTTGGGCCATGCTTAAAAATATTCTTGTTTGCCGTAACCCGACCGACCCTGTCAAATTAGGACCGACCCAATTATTTATTTTTTTCCCCTTTTAGTCCGACCGACTTGCCGGTTGTAAACTTGCATTAAGACCGACCGATTTTTTTTTTACTCTTCAAACAACTAATACAAATGCAATAAAATAATATACATTTATTATAGTAAGTATTGTGAATATAAATTGCGTAGGCTACGTTCTTTCTTTTAAATAAAAACCCGTGGCGTCATCTATTATGATTATGTTTACACCATTGGTTTACGCATGTCACACTATGGCCTGTGCGTTCGCTTCGTTTCATTCACTGTCAATGGTTCGCGCTCGGTGATGATGGCTGCGGCGCGGCTGCTTGTGAAAATACGTCTGTATGAGCCTACATTTAGTCGCTCATTATTGGAAATTCTTAATGGTCAAATAGGGAATCAATGTTAACGGCCTTTTCTCGGAGCCCGTCCAGCTCGTCATGACATGCCCACCGCGAACGCGCGTCACACAGCAACTGCAGGCTCTGACAAACAAACACACATAAGTGTGGGAAGCCAAACACACCGAAAGGGGGACGAAACGGCGCGGTGTGTTACAGAGTTCGCGCTGCGCTGACTTGTAATCTGCGTGGCTCAATGGACCGAGACGCGCGAGCGCGACAGACTCGACAGCGCAGGAGAAGTGTTTGCTTGCGCCAGCCAATGGTCAGAGCGGCGCGAATTAATCTCACCAGCGCCGCGCTGACCAATAAAACAGCACATCCCATACCGAAATGTACTAAATTGCACAAAAGAAAATCGACCATTCCATAATATGTCAGGACTACTTAATCGGCCTATAGTTTCCTACAATGCGCCTAGCTATTTGACCACACTGATTTCCGTTAATAATAGCAGATGTTTATGGGTCAAATCTCTCACTCTCTCCCTGCAACTTTTTGTTACCCTCCTTTCCTGCCCCTAGACCAGATAGGGGGCTTGTAACAGTATGGGTCAAATGTAAACGAATGGTGCCAAACGCGCTGTTTTATTAGTCGGCGCGGCGCTGGTGAGATTAGTCATTTTAATTTATTTGTTTTCCTCTGAAAATCCACTTTCATTGAAATCTAGTGGCTCCTTTTTTTCTTTTGATTCTGCCTATTTTTTTCCAAATGAATGCAGCTGGAATTAATGCAATAAATATGTTTTTTTTTTTACAAAGATTTCAAATTGTTTGTGGTCTATAACCTGTATCAGAATGAGGTTCGCAATGGTGCGCCCGAAGGCATGGGGGTTGAAGACCCAGTCAGTGACGTCACGATATGCAAATTTGTTTAAATTCATACCGACCTAATCACCATGACCAAAATTATCCTTTTTTTTTTACATTGAATCTTGAAAAAAAAATATATAGACCTACCTACCGACCCTTTTTTTTTTTTTTTTTGCTGTTACTGCAAACCAAAATATTTTTAAGGATGGCCTTGTTGTTTAGCAACATGTTTATTAGTCCATATACCTCATATTTGTATAAAAAAACACGATAGCATGATACATTATCATCATCATGATACATCATGTATCATTATGATACATGACAATTTTTGTAAAACAAGGAGGGGTCGTGAAATTAGTCATGCTATTAACAGTGACATTAGTTAACTTGGCAAATAGAACAGTCCATTAATATTTGTGGTATTTACATTAATTTTGAATTGCCTTTTCATTGTGTATATAACATTTTTAGTATAACGTAAAGTCCTAATTATTGGTAGTTATTATATATATATATATATATATATATTAGTTATTTATGTTTCTTTTTCTCCTTGGAAAAAAAAAACTAGTGTTCTATTGTGGACATTTTAAGCAAAATATTTCAAATGTTCCTCAAAAGTCTGATGAGAATAGTTTTCCCAGCAGCATAAGAAGTCCAAAAAAGATTTCTAAGGAGTTTTCAGCTTCTGATTTCTCTTAATGTAGTTGAAATCAATTCCTAAACTAAAGCATATGTCACTGCTCACTTCTTAATGTTTAAAAGTATGGATTAATGACTAAGCCGCAGATGCACTATGTATGTGACATCAGCATGTTTCACAGGGCGTGCATGACAGAAATGCATGTGTTTGCTGTAGTGCTTGGCTAGACTGTGATATGGGATTATGGTGAAAGTGATCTTGAATCTTTAAATGTTTCAGCTTTTTGACAGACTGCGGGAGGAGCAGCCTGATTTCGGAGAGAAGATCGTGGCGGTCAACAGCGACCTGACGCAGCCAGATCTGGATCTGAGCACGGACGACAAGGAGACCCTAACAGGCTGCGTGAACATCGTGTTTCACTGCGCTGCCACTATCCGCTTCAACGAGCCTCTGAAGTAAGCCGTAATCTCCAGCCACAGGACGCCACAAATCTACTGCTACAAGTTTAGATGCTTCTGATTATTTAGGCGGATACATCACAGGAAGCAACTGAGGGACTGTTTACTAGGGCTGTAACGATACGCGATATATAAAACCGAAATCGCGATACTCAGATCCACGATGTGAGAAGGCAGAATCGCGACACACCCCTTCCAACTCCCAGAGTTATCCTTCCCGTCCAGATCCAATGCTACCACATCTTTAAATTACTATTAGTATTATTTGAAGTTAATATAAAATACGTAGACCTACATCCCAAAACTAGTAAAATTGGACAATTTCAGCGTTATGGGACGTGACATTTGCAGTCAAAACTTGAAATATAAATGTATTTAATGCATTTAATACCACTATATTGAAACTTCTGTTTATATATCCATACTCCTTTTAAAAAGGAGTCCAGACATTAGAAAAATATAAGTCTACACATGCATTTTGTATTTAATATGAGGGAAATACACATGCGTTACGGACGTGACACAAAACATCTTTCTACCTTTTAGGTGGCAAAATATGGTTTTAGTAATTCAGTGAATTACACTGCACAAACCAAAAGTAATACTATCCTACCCACCGGATGAAGAAGGGTTGGTTCTCCCCAGAACATAAAATAGTCTTTTATTTTTTCGTGTTCGCATTTATGAGGAAAAAACAATGTTACAGACGTGACAGTTCTCTGGAAGCGGCACTAAAACTTTCACAGAGACCTCAAACAGAAAGCACAAAGCTTTTCTTTAAAGTGAATTTCTTTTTGTATTAATTGTTTCTTAATTTTAATCAGTGTTTCATCAACCAATTACCTGGATTTAATAAATAAGAAGTAAATATAGCAGACAATAGATAATCATGACACGGAGGCGTCGGCGCGTGAACTGGAGCTCGTCTCATAAATGAACCGAAACTCAGCGTATAAGGTATATGTCTCAGGTCTTGCCTCACAGACCTGAGACATATATCTATATTGAAATGTCTACTTTTAAACAGAACAATTCAAAACGAAAGAAAACAGACTGCTCTTGTAATCCGTATGAAAAGTGCATTTCTCTCTGGCGCGTTCACTACTGCGACAATCGCGAGTCAGCATCGTCAACTTCATCTTTCTAGCCGAGTGAGCCGACACTAACAGAAAACACTTGTTTATTAATAAACAATTAAAATCTCTCCTCGCTATATTTGACATATTCATAATCATTACTTTTGCCGGTTCTTTGTGACAGCTTTTAGGTCCTTTATTGGCAGCGCCACCCTTACATGTTACTCGTCAGCACCAAAAACATGGAGTTTTTTTTAATCAATAATCGCACAACTTATTTGATATTCTATAATTAAATCGTGTAGTCGACAAGACCCACACAATTTGCCATAAGTGTTTTAAGAAGCTTCCTCAAATGACCGGCAACACGTCCAACATGCAGATGCATATCTTACGGCACCATCCCGAAATCAATTTAGTTGGAGCACAGAAAACAACCTATAAGCAGCAGCCTACACTGCCTAGTTTAGTTTAATAATTTGCATAGTTAATATTGTTCTTTTGTGTTCAGTTTATACAGTTTTTTTCAAATGTTATTTAATAAAGATATAATTTTTTTCCCCTCAAAATCGCTCTCTTTTTTTTTTTACCCCAAAGCCCCGCCCCCGTGATAGAATCGTGATACGAACCGAATCGTGGGTCAAAAATCGTGATACGAACCGAATCGTGGGTTTGGTGTATCGTTACAGCCCTACTGTAACAATAATAATAAATATTATTTTTATTATGTTTTAATTACTTTTATTATTGCTATTATAATTATTGTTAATGCTAATAATAATAATACAAGTTTGAATAACATAATCAATTTATTATTAACAACAACATCAATAATAATAGTAATAATTATAGCACAAATTAAGCACTATAATACTAATATTAATAAATAATAATTATTAGTAATAGTATTCATAATATATGAGTAGCTAATATATAATATATAATCGATATGATTATTATTGCTAATTGCTAATAATAATATTTATACAATACTACAATTATTGTATTTATAATAATACAAATTTATAATTATATTATTATTAATACTAGTAGTAATAATAGTAGTAATTATAAGAAATGTTCATTATTGTTTTTTTCTAATATATTATTTTAATATTTTGCATTAGTAATATATTTCTACCCAAATTCTTCTGTCACTGTGGCATTTTATCAGATCCAACCTGTACTGGCCAATAAAAAAAAAACGGAAAAAAAACTGGAATGCTATACGTCCAAAATGCATGCTAACGCCATGTTTATACATTTGTGACACGAACGCTTGCATTCTTCACCTGACTTCATTTTGGAGTGCTCAAGTAACACTGCTGGCCCAGTGAGAGAGACATAAAATGCATATTTTATGTCATTCACTGTATATATTTGCTAAACAATGATTTATTTGGATAACTCAGTAAGTTGAAAGACTGAAACTACAGTAATTGCAAATGATCATGATTAGATAACGTTTTTGGGTCAGGTGGTTTTACAGAAATCGCTGCAGGTTTATTTTCACATCTGTATATTCAAAACCTCATGTTTCTGCAGTGTCCTTGGAGTTCAGTGTTTGTGGTTTTTCTGTCCCCTTTGCTGCAGAGATGCCATGCAGTTAAATGTGCTGGCCACGCAGAAGATGGTTAGTTTGGCTCACAGTATGAAGCATTTGGATGTGTTTATCCACGTGTCCACAGCCTACGCCCACTGCGACCGAGAGCTCATCGAAGAGGTGGTCTATCCACCACCTGTCGATTACAGGAAGCTAATAGACACACTGGAGTAAGTCCTTACAAAACACTCTTCTTGTCTGTGGATCCTGCAATCTTATAACCCCAAAAAATGATGTTGCTAATAAAAGCTTAAAAAGATTGCCGACACAACAACAAATAAAATTCAAGAACAGAAATGACAAAGTAACACACAATGAACATTGAAGCTATTTCAAGCATGATTAACTAGACGCAACTCTTCTTTTGCTTTCCCTCAACTTCCTGGATTTGTACGATACTGACAGGTGGATGGACGACAAACTTGTCTCTTTAATAACGCCAAAGTTGTTAGGTGAGCGGCCTAACACATACACGTTCACTAAAGCCTTGGCGGAGCACCTCGTCCAACAGGAGTCTGGAAACCTCAATATCGCCATCGTCAGGCCCTCTATAGTAGGAGCCAGCTGGAAGGAACCGTTCCCCGTAAATATGCTCATTTACATTCTCAAACATCATTAAAACATACTGCCTGGATTTTGAACACCACTCTTTCTTTCCCACTCTGTCAAAGGGCTGGATTGATAATTTCAATGGGCCTAGCGGGATATTCATCGCTGTGAGTCCCCACTTTGACTTTTTTAGAGCAGATTTAAATGCAGTGGCATTTCACTGCATTCGTATCATTGTTTATTGCTACTTGATGTTAAAAGCTGTTTTTGTTTTTTTTGGTTGTGCAGGCAGGAAAGGGGATTCTACGAACAATGAGGGCTTCAAATAACGCTGTCGCTGACCTCGTGCCAGTCGACGTGGTCATAAACACAACTTTGGCCGCTGCCTGGTATTCCGGTTCACAGAGGCACGCCAGGTTGGACAACCACACAAACACCAACAGGCACACTAAATCCCTCACGCACAGATCACTGGAAAATAAAGTCATGGAATATTTGGTGCCAGTTTTCTGAAAGTGTCCTTTGTCTCCATCACAGGCCGAGAAGCATGTTGGTGTACAACTGCACGACGGGCGGGATCAATCCTTTTCATTGGGGTGAAGTTGGTATGAATCACTTTTTCTAACAAATCCCTGCATGACTCAAATGCCCACATTGGCCTTCAGTGCTTCATTTTCCCATTTAATTTTTGCTCTCCAACTGCAAATCGAAGAACTTGTCACGTTAAATGAATGAGCTTTAAAACCGTGTCACGTTTGAACATGCGAACTTGTATATTATGGGCGTTAGCTGGCTCATTCTTTTGCTCTGTTTTTTATGGGAACAGATTTAACTTGGATTTTTAAAATTGAGATTTATGCAAGTTTTTAAACAACTTCATTGTTTTCAGATTTAAGTGAAGTAGGGTGGGGAGAAATGAGTTATGATAACCATTAGTAGATGAATTATGATTGGTGTAGTGGTGCTGTAGTCATTGTTGTTTTTTTCCTTTCATCACTTTATGGAAAAAGTGACATGGCAACAAAGTAAATCTTTGTCCATTATTATATTATATTATTGCCAAACACATTAATTTAATCCATTTTAATCAGTTAAAGGTGGGGTATGTGATTTTCTTTTTGACCATTTTTTCAAAATCACTTGAAATCCTATTCCTAACCCACTTACAGCCACTGAGTTAGAAGCACTGAAATGAAAATTAAGCAATTTAATTATCTGTGGAACGGGCAGGACTCGGAAAAACTCCAGCCAATCATTTCCAAGACCACCTAGAATCATTGGACAGTAAGTGCGTCACTCAAACGGTCGTACCACACCCCCATCCCCCTCGCGCGCGTGTCCCCTTCGTGTGCATACTCAAAGCTCGTGACCCAGTCACAGTAAGTGCACGTCGCCCCGGTACAGAGAGAGAGAGAGAGAGAGTAAGTGCAAGTTGCGCGTCCATGTTCTCCGAATGGGTGGAGTCAGGGCCAGCGTTGGAGGAAAGAAGGTAGGACCTTTGAGTTGTGTATTTTCAAAATCTGCCGTTTTGCAAATCCCATACCCTACCTTTAAGTGTAATTTTTCACTGGCCAAATCACAATTTGAACACCATTTTTTGACACCAGCAGTGTTTAAAATATAATTTAACTGTCTCAAGTAATAACGCATCAAGTATTTACATTAAATCAGTTAAACTAAGCGTTTGGCAATATATATTTCATGAATTAATTTCTTTTACATAAACATTTTCAGCAAATAAATAGGTTAATAATGTTATATAATACCTATAAGTATATAATATATAAATTATAATGTGTTCTATATTTTATGATTATACTATATTGTATTATATTACTAAATGCTTTTTTAAAATTGTATCCATATTAATCAGTTAATTGTAAGGGTATAACAGTTTTGTTAATGTCATTATTTGAGTTAAATTGTATTTTAACACTATTTTTATAACATTTTTATTTTTAAAAAGACCCTTTTTTACACAACCATCTAGCTGCATATTGCAGCAAAATGTGCCGTATATGTTTTTCTTTTTGTATGAATATATAAAAACTAGTAAATACCATGATGATTGAGCATTACACACACCAAAGGTTTTCAAAAATGAACTGTATATTTAATACTTAGCTTCAGTGAGAACTCCTTAGTTTCTGATATGTCATGTTTAGGTTGAGTGACACATTCCCTTTTAACTAAGCATTTGTTGGAATACGTTTCAATGCCGTTGTTACTGTTATCACAACAAACATGTCTCTAGTGATCTCTTAAAACAGGTTTGACTCATTCTATCGCTGTGATGAGTGACTGACATTCAGTGGGACTGAAAATATTTATATCTATTTACAGATATAAATAGATATTAGAGACATTAGATGAACCATGGTACAAGAGTGTACTGAACCATATTAGGGGCTTTCGTACCGGATAGTTCTAGGAACTAGCCACCAGGGCGGTTCCCCGAGAACTAATGGTTCTCCTTGGAATGTTTTCCTGTTGTATTCACACCGCCAGTAGGAACTTTGAAGTGACGTAAGCCGCGCTTGTTGTTGTGACTTTTATTTTGACGGCGCGGCACACCTTTATTTTGATGGTGCTGAGAACGCCAGAGCCTGAGCAAACAAACAGTGCTCGCATTCTCTGTGTTCATTAGTTTACGATCTGTCTAACAGTCCTGTCTAATACGTTAACACAAGTAGACAGTATATGAAAAGGTATTAGCGTATGCCGTGTGGTTAATGTCCAGTGTTGCTCGCTGAGCAGAAATACACGATCATGTTTAGCTTGGTCCCCTCAAAGTTGCGTTGGATTTTCTCCTCAGCGTAAAGGTTAAGAGGCCCATCTATCACTGTTTTCCACGTTTGGCCAATCCGCGTACTCTAACGTCACTGATAGTTCCTATTGTGCTGGTTTAGACCCTACTCTGAAGTAGGAGCTAAATTCCTCCAAAAGCTCCTAGAACTAAAATGGTTCCTAGTTCCCGCTGTGCGAACTCGCTGTCATCCGCGTACTTTCACCAATAGTTCTAGGAACTAGGAAAAGGTTCCTCCGGTGCGAAAGCCCCTATTGTTCACATTTTCTACTGGAACCATTGCATCCCTAATTAATTAGTTAATATTCAAATGAATGTTTAGTTATAATCAGCATTGTGTTTGCAGTTGGAGCAATCCATAGGACTCAACAATACGGATTTTTTTTGTTGCCCTGCCCAAATGTTCACTGCCCAAACTAAAAAAAGAAAACAATATTTTTCATTATGTATCAGACAGAATTAAGATAATACCTTACGAAACCAGTTACAACATAATTCGGTATATATATATATATTTGAGTATTATTGATTATTAATATAATCATTTATTATATATAAATATGATCATTTATAAAAAAAAATTGTGATCCAATTAAAATAAATGACAGTTCTATTAACTGGACCAAAGCACTCTCGTCATTGTTGAGCCCTGGCTACTTACTAAGATGAATTTGACCATATATGGATGGGATGATACTTTAAAAAGGATCCCTAATACTATGCTAAGTAAATGACCGTGTTGCTTTTTAACTCTGAACCAAGTCATGCGCACCTGTGCCGTTTACTGTTAAACGTTTTTGTCTCTTAGAGTACCATGTTACATCTACTTTCAAGAGGAACCCCCTCGAGCAGGCCTTCAGGCGGCCAAATGTAAATCTCACAACCAATCACCTTATCAATCAGTACTGGATTGCTGTAAGCCACAAGGCGCCAGCATTCCTATATGATCTCTTCCTCAGGATGTCAGGAAGAGAGCCCAGGTAAATCCGACCGCTTCGTCCCGCTTCCTCCCCCACGCTTCCTCCTCCACGCTCGGTCTAGCCATCACGTGTCGTTCTCCTCGTCTTGGGCAAGGATGCATAACCCACTCGGAGACTGGGTTCTGCACGCTTCCCGTCCACGTGTGTGCTTAGCCGTGTGTGTGTGTAGCTCTGTGTTTAAAATGCTCTTGTATGTTGTATGCCTGTATTCCTTTTCGCAGAGTACTGCATAAACATGACGTTCAAGACCAACCCCTTAGAACAGGCTTTCAGACGCCCCAATGTTAACCTGCGATCCAACCCTTTTACCAATCAGTACTGGACCACAGTGAGTCACACCCTCCCTGCCCTGCTGTACGACGGGTTTCTCATGTTGATGGGTCAGAAGCCCCGGTAAGGTCTTCAGTACCCGCTTCTCCACCTCTTTGTCCTCCCTCCTTCCCCTCCCTCACCTCCACCACTGGGTATTGGGTGCGTGGGGAGGCATGGCCGGCCGGCCGGCTGGGAAGGAAGCGCCCAGCCTGGCCTTCTGCTCGTCTTCATGGCATCGGACAAACGCTGATGGCGGGCTAGCATTAAAGTGCATGGAGTCCTGCACGTTTTTTTGTTACTTCTTTGGAAAAGGAGATGGATCCATCCCATAATTCCATGTTTATCTTATTTGTTATGTTTGTTTTCTTTTTCTAAACCATGCCATTAAGTCTTCAAGAGAGATCTTTTGGTCTACTCATGTAGCACATGGAAACATGGAAGCTGGGAATAATGTTTTGATCAACAACGCCTGTACTCACCAAGCAAGTCGGAGTGCTCCACTCAGATCAGATACGGACAGTTTACACGAGTTTTCTGTCAAAAACGCCAAACTGATCAGAGAACAGCACTCAATATAAGCAATGGGGCCAGGTACCAAACTCTCTGCTCTAGGAATTGGTTTAAGACGGGGGGTTTTCAAACGGGGGTCTAGGATGCCTGCAAGAAAATTGTACTTTTTACTTTTTTGAGGGTTTTCAAGGTAACTTTTAACCATATACAAATTGTATAATTATATATTTTAAATGCATTTCAATATTTTATCAATAATTTTATACAATTTTTGAATTTATGTAAATATTTGTTTGTTTTTTAAATAATTAAAATAATTTATATTTATAAAATAATAATAATTATAGGCACAAAATAATGAAATATCTCTCTCTTTTAATTTTATATTATGATTTCATTTTAATTCTGTTTTCCAAAGACTGGTTGGAAATCATGCGATTTAAGATTTTTTAATTAAACTACAGCTGCCTGTATCTATTAAAATAGCGGTCCTTCGCAAAGGGGTCATATTTGGGGGACCTTGGCTCTAAAAGGTTTGAAAATCCCTAGTTTAATCCACTAAAATATAATTACAAGGATCTGTACTTCTAATTTTATATAAAAAATAAGATGGCTGCATAAGTTGGATATTTGATCCATCCGTGCAAAAGTAGTGAGTAGGTGTGTTTGGTATCTGGAGATTTTTCAAAGTTGCTGTTCTAATACGATGCATGCCGTCATCCCCTATCCAACCGATCTTGATGGGAAACTGGGCGTTTCTGGACATTTCCATTTACAATTCCAACAGTGCTTTGTCAGATAAAGCCTGATAAAATTTGGTCTACATCTAGTACAGTTTATAAATGTACACAAAGAAAAACAGAAAAAAAATCAAGAATCTCAAGTACACAAATGCGCCCAGGTGCCCTCCAAGATCCTTCAATGTCTTTTAACCGTGTGATCTTTGCTCAACCAAAACATAATGGGAATCCACAGTTGTGTTTGCCGGAGGACTGTGGTTCGAAAGTGCTGCAGTGGGATCTAACCTGAATCTAATAAACTACAGGATGAATGGGTCAAAGAAAGTCTTCATATATTCATTTTGAGTAATTGAGGTTTTTTGTTGTTGTTGTTGTTGTTTTTTTTACAGAGACCCTTGACCTTTGCAAAAATAAAAAAATATACAGACTTTTGCATAAACACAAACGTTTTTACAGTATCCAAATTTGCACTTTTTACAGTAACTGTCTTTTCAGCCTAATTCACAGTGTGGTTTCTCGGCCACCACAGAGTTAAATTTGTGCATTGTCCTGTATGCTTTACATACTGGTTCATAAATTATTGCTCCATCAGCCTATTTCAGTGTAGTTTCTCGGCTGCCACAGAGTTAAATTTGTTCAACTGGACATAAGGCCTTGAGATTAGATGTACTCCATTAATGAAAGCCAAATTTTGAGCACTTTTCAGTGTACCAATCTTTTTTTATCGACCCTCAAATTTGGCAAATAGGACGATGCACACAGCAGTATTGCGCCATCAGCCCATTTCGTGGCGCGGTTTCACGGCCGCCACAGAGGATGCTTTAAAGAGGACATAAGGCCTTGATATTAGAGTTACTGTCCTAATGAAAGTTATATTTTGAGCAAATAGATCTCTATTAATTCCATGCACATCCATGCTCTTATTTTCTTCATAGTAAGATGACAGTTACACACAAAGGAAATGTTAGTAGCCTATACATAACCGGAAATTATATGGCGTGACCACACAAAATATTCCGCGGAAACACGTGAACAGTTTCTTGTGAGCACATAAAAAAGATTCTCATGCGCACGCTAAAGTATTAATGTTTTATTTTTTGCAAAGGTCCCTTTCCGGGCTCCATAGTTTTTTACTTTTTATTTTATTTACGTCTCTTTATTTGGGCAAGCTAACCTATGGAAGCCTCTTTTTTCCTCCTAGTAAAAAATTTCACATTTTTCTCATACTTATGACTATATCTGACAATGCGACTTGATATCATATAATTGCAACTGTAATTGTGACTTTATATTTAACCATGTAAATATTTAATATTTTAAACTTAATCTGACAGTTACCAGTTTTATTTTTACTCAGGGGGGCAGAAATGGGCTTCTCTAATAACCTACATTTTGTTATTTAATAAAGCATTGCATGGAATTAAATATTTTGCTATCGCTAAACCATCCAGATTAAGTCATATACAAGCTGTGGTTTCTTAAAACTACTTTTGTAGTTTGTCACCATCTGCTCTTATTAAATTGAATGCCCTTTCGGGGTTAAACTCCACATCCAGCCCCCCTTCAATCCTCATCTGAAGCTATTTCTCCTTTTCTCCCACTCGTTCCCTGTGTTGTTTCCGTGGCGACGCAGGATGATGAAGACAATCACTCGGTTGCACAAGGCCATGATGGTGCTGGAGTACTTCACTAGCCACTCGTGGGTGTGGAACACGGACAACGTAACCATGCTCATGAATCAGATGGGAGCTGAGGACAAGAAGGTGTGTGTTTGTATATGTACTATTAATACACTCACAGCCTGCCGTTAGCACAGTTAAAGAAGTCTCATCTGTGACTGTGAATCATGATTTACATCGGTTAAAATGTGTCCGTACACTAAAATTATATTGTGAATGAAATATTCTTTCAAATTAATTTCTGACTTTTATCAATGCTCAGGTATTTAACTTTGACGTCAGGCAGTTACACTGGGCAGAATACATGGAGAATTACTGCATGGGCACTAAGAAGTATGTTCTCAACGAAGAGTTGTCAGGACTCCCAGCGGCACGCAAACACTTGAACAAGTATGTATTGAAGTTCTCAAGGTTACCTTGAGGATAACTGATTATCTAGAGCAACAGTCACACTGAAATAGTAATTGCTGCACTGTCGTATGCAGCTGCTCAATTTTGTCGCATTGCCAAATGTCTCTGTCCCCCATTGAACTCTATTGTAAATGAGTGAAAAAAATGGGTTTATCCAGACTGAGATGCATCTATAAAAATCTCATTGGAATCACATTTCAAACCACCTCCATATGTGGTTTGAATAAGATTTGAAAAAATAGGATTTCATGTTTGTTTTTTTCTGCTGTCCAGACTTGCAAAAATCTGTATATGCAAAAAAATCTTGATTTTTGCTGGCAGTCTGAACATGGCCTAATGCTCACTTAAAAAAACAAACTGTTAAATAGAATCTAAACTGAATGGAATTAGCAAATCTCAAAATAAATGCATATTTTTCATATTGTAAGTTATGTTTTGATGCCTAAATTCAGCTTTTCAAATAATTATTTTTAGTTTTGAGTGTTTTCTTTAATCTATTTAGACGTAATGGTAGGGATGCACGATATATCGGCCACCATATCGGTATTGGCCAATATATGTTCATTTTTAATGTTATCTTTATCGGCCGGATAAGGACATTTGACTGATATATTAAAGCTGATAAATAATGGATTATTTCCCTTAGCTGAGACGCTTCAAGTCTGTCATATAGGCTACATAAAATTATAATGAGAACATCCTTAATAACTGTGTGCTTGGGACATGGATTTTAATGGTGAGACTTTGTTTTTGTAATCAGGCTCTCAAAAATGAAAAAAAAATGTGGATTGAGATTTATCGGCCAATATATCGGTTATCGACTTTCAAATATAGAGAATTATCGGTTATCTGTATCGGCCAAAATTTTTATATCGGTGCATCCCTACAGAATAGTATATAATTTAATATCAGCCATGAAGTAAAAATAATTATTGACTTAAGTGGAGATGCCACTAATATGAAATTTAAATATGTGATAATATGTATAAAATATATTATTAAATGGATTATTTTCCCTTTTTTTACATTTGTTTTCTTTTCCCGTAGGCTCCGGAACATTCGCTATACTTTCAACACCATCTTGGTAGTTTTGATCTGGCGCATCTTCATCGCCCGTTCACAGATGGCCAGAAACATCTGGTACTTCGTCGTCAGCTTGTGCTTCAAGTTCCTCTCCTATTTCAGAGCTTCCAGCACCATGAGATATTGAATCCACCCCAGCTCCCCCCTCCCCCCCCTCTCTCTCTCTCTCTCTCTCTCCCGACAGCTATGCACACACTTCTGCTTTGCGACACTCTGAACTCCGAGGGTCAAGCGTTCGGGCATAGTATCCGCTATCCTCCCCTCCTGCGCTAGTGCGCCCTCAACATCACAGGGTGCAAGTGCACTCAACTGCTATGTAGAAAGCATGAATTTTCAGGGCTCGAGGTCTAAGAAGCTCTCTCAGCATAACGAGAGCGACTGCTTCGTGCCGAGCGCGTTTGAGCACTTACTTGTACCCGTTCCACCTCCTGAACGCAAACAGGTTGTGGACGATGCTTGATTATTATGGTTTACATACTTGCTCATACTTGTTGGCGCCAATGGCCCCTTTTCTAACTGTAATCAACGAAGCACAATGAGAAAAAAATGAGAGATGGCTTTGTCTCAGCTCTGTGCCTGCAATTCAAAAATTATCTTCATCATGTGCCCAGTGTCTTTGTTAGATTCATCTCTTTTGCCTTACTTCTTTCCAATTCCTCTCACCCTCTTAGAGACAAAGGGAATTGACGTGTCACCAAATTAGCATCTTAAGCGTCTGATTCCAGGCCTTATGCTTGTGTCTTCACACTCTTTTCTTTAGTCAATACCATGTCATCTTCAAATATATTTATTTGTGCTAGTTGGGGTCTCTTGTTTTTGTGAAAGCAATCAGTCGCTTTTAATCAATCAGGCTTGTCTGTTTCCCTAAAAAAAATTTGCTAGCAAACGCAAGCCTTGGGTTTTCACACGCTTAAACCTGTTGCCTTTTATGAATAATGAGCTTCATAAATAAACATGAGCTGAAGGAATTTGCGTCGAAGGTTTGTTAAACCGTTGATGTCAAACGAAGAATTTACACTTTTGTTCCGCTCGAGTTTCATGATTAAAGCGCGATTATTGTTTCTTGCCATAACTTAGTGTTCAGGTAATGGACTTTTGTACATAAAACACGTTACCTTTTGCATAAATCTCTAAGGCAGCCTGAGAAAACCGAATATGTTGACTTTCAAAACTCTCGTTTAAAACCGTACGCTAATTTCTTTACGTTCTTCAGAGCTTCTATTCCATATCAGAGGGTGACGGTTCATATTTTAACTGGATTAACTTAAGTGTTTTTCTTTCCTTTCTTCACCCGATTTATTCTGTGACCTGTCTGAATGTTGAAGTAATGTGAAAGAGCTGACGGATGTATGTTTTCTAAACCATTTCTGTACTTCTATTTAGATAAAACACTGTAATTTAACATTGTCCGCTACCAAGTATTTTCCATGTTTGAAATAAATAGGAAGTGGTTGTTTATGACGTGAAATGACAAGTGAAAAGAAGAGATGTAAAGGCTGCTTTTATGGTCACTCGTGCTTCGGATCACAATTAATGTCAAGAACTATTTGCACAGTTTAATATAATAGCAGGGAACGATGGCTTGTTACTGTGTGGATTATAGATTAACTATTCTGTCTTTTCAATTAACGGTTTAAAGAACTGATAAAAATGATCGTTGCCTTCATTTCAGCGCTTCTGTCAGGATCCATATTTTTATGTGGGAGTTTGAGTGGAATAGTGAGTTTGAGAACGAGTTCTGTGTATGCAGGGTCTCATCAAGAGTATTTTTTTTTTATCCCGAAATAGGGTCAAATTAAGGAAAATATATTGCAATGTACAGTAGTCAACTTATCTTTGTAGTTTTCTTTGTGATGATTCAAATTAGGCATCATTGGTATTTTTGTCACAGATCACAGCATTTTATAAAGGTGGTAATATAATTGTTTTCATTGGTCATTATAAAATGTAAGATCAAGTCGATGTCAGGCCTTGACTGGACAAATGTAGTTTGTTTCCCTTTCTTTCCATTTTGTCTGCCTTATTTATATGTACTGTTTTGTTTAATATCCTGTAATGATCTAAAATGTTTGAGAAAATTGCAATTGCCACATTAAAAAGTCATTGGAGGGTTAAAAAAAATCAATGGGTGCCTTTCGTTTGTAAACCAAAAGAAATAAAGAATAAACTTATTTTTCAGTTTAATGATTCATCATTGGGTGTTACTGTTTTTAAGCTGTGAAGAACATAACTATGATTTAATAGAACTAAAGCACATAACTTGCTGCCCTAGATAGTAAAATATTGTTATATAAAGAAACCGAATCTGTCATGTAGATGTCTGTTGTTTTTTTACAAGAAAAGTTTTCTAATAGTTAATGAGATGGATTGTAAAACATTTAAGCCCCCCTGAAAGATTCACATTTGTGTGAAAATAAGCCTGTAAATGAATCAATTTGAAGTGTTCTTTACATTCTCAACCTCATTAACATCCACAATTCAACACTGCCATCTGCTGTTCATATTTCAACAAGTTATGTTGCATTTTTTGCTTTTCAAAATAATACATTCAAAAGTCAACCAAAAATAACCAGAAATCATATTTATTAGGAAGTAATATAATATCAAGCTAGGTCAACATATTCAGAACACTGTCATTCTCTATCAAAATATTTTTTTGAAAACACGTTTCTTTGTAATTCCATGTGATATCACACAAAGTACAAATGGCACTTTAATATATATATATAAATAAGAGTTCCTCTGATTTTATTAAGAAATGAAATAAGGCACTTTGATGCTACAAAGTTTCAGTTTCTGTGGGAGCGATCAGTCCACATTTCTTTCACCAGAAGATTTCCTCTCATCTACACACACTGATCTTTTCCTGTAACAATAAAACAGATAAATGTGAGGTTTTTTTTGTTTATATATATATATATATATATACACACACACACACACACAGTCAAAAGTTTGGAAACATTGCTATTTTTTATGTTTTTGAAAGAAGTCTCTTATGCTTATCAAGCAATCTAAAGCAGAACAACTGTTTCCAACATTGATAAATCAGCATATTAGAATGATTTCTGAAGGATCATGTGACACTGAAGACTGGAGTAATGATGCTGAAAATACAGCTTTGATCACAGGAATAACTTATATTTTAAAGTATATTAAAATAGAAAACTATTATTTTAAATTGTAATATTTCACAATATTAATGTTTTTTTATTTTTGATCAAATAAATGCAGGCTTGATGAGCATAATATATTACATATATATATATATATATATATATATTTTGTATGTGTGTATTAGTGCTGTCAAATCGATTAATCACATCCAACAAAAGTTTGTTTACATAAAATATGTGTATGTATATATATATATATACACACACACATATTTTATGTACATATATTATATATATATATATATATTAAAGATATAAATACATACACACTAGTAAATACTCATATACATATACGTATATATATATACACTCACCGGCCACTTTATTAGGTACCCCATGCTAGTAACGGGTTGGACCCCCTTTTGCCTTCAGAACTGCCTCAATTCTTCGTGGCATAGATTCAACAAGGTGCTGGAAGCATTCCTCAGGGAGTTTGGTCCATATTGACATGATGGCATCACACAGTTGCCGCAGATTTGTCGGCTGCACATCCATGATGCGAATCTCCCGTTCCACCACATCCCAAAGATGCTCTATTGGGTTGAGATCTGGTGACTGTGGAGGCCATTTTAGTACAGTGAACTCATTGTCATGTTCAAGAAACCAATTTGAAATGATTAGAGCTTTGTGACATGGTGGAAGTAGCCATCAGAGGATGGGTACATGGTGGCCATAAAGGGATGGACATGGTCAGAAACAATGCTCAGGTAGGCCGTGGCATTTAAACGATGCCCAATTGGCACTAAGGGGCCTAAAGTGTGCCAGGAAAACATCCCCCACACCATTACACCACCACCACCAGCCTGCACAGTGGTAACAAGGCATGATGGTTCCATGTTCTCATTCTGTTTACGCCAAATTCTGACTCTAACATCTGAATGTCTCAACAGAAATCGAGACTCATCAGACCAGGCAACATTTTTCCAGTCTTCAACTGTTCAATTTTGGTGAGCTCTTGCAAATTGTAGCCTCTTTTTCCTATTTGTAGTGGAGATGAGTGGTACCCGGTGGAGTCTTCTGCTGTTGTAGCCCATCCGCCTCAAGGTTGTGCGTGTTGTGGCTTCACAAATGCTTTGCTGCATACCTCGGTTGTAACGAGTGGTTATTTCAGTCACTGTTGCCCTTCTATCAGCTCGAACCAGTCTGGCCATTCTCCTCTGACCTCTGGCATCAACAAGGCATTTCCGCCCACAGAACTGCCGCTCACTGGATGTTTTTTCTTTTTCGGACCATTCTCTGTAAACCCTAGAGATGGTTGTGCGTGAAAATCCCAGTAGATTAGCAGTTTCTGAAATACTCAGACCAGCCCTTCTGGCACCAACAATCATGCCACGTTCAAAGTCACTCAAATCAACTTTCTTCCCCATACTGATGCTCGGTTTGAACTGCAGGAGATTGTCTTGACCATGTCTACATGCCTAAATGCACTGAGTTGCCGCCATGTGATTGGCTGCTTAGAAATTAAGTGTTAACGAGCAGTTGGACAGGTGTACCTAATAAAGTGGCCGGTGAGTGTATATTAGTAAAATACCAAGAGCTTTCCCTTACCCGCAAGCTGCAATCTGATTGGCTGGCTAGATTACAATTATAAAAAACAAAAATGTCTATACGAATAAGGCCAGACCTGTTAAGCCGTGTGCAACACACCAGATAGACGCATGCAAGGAATGTTTGTGATGAAATTGCGGTCTCACTCGAGAGGCTGGCAGTGCAGGCCTGCAGCACAGGGGCAGTGCTCCCGCGGACCCTCCTCGTCCCACAGTAATAACTCCATCAGCTGGTTAGGGTGACTGGGGCAGCCTTGGCCTTCCTGTGGCTTGGGGCGGCACACTGGGAAGAGCAGGGCTGGAGAGGAAAAAACTAGAAATATTAAAAAGAAGAGGGAGGGAGAGATAGAGACTACAGAGAGAGGTACAGCAGAATTTAGGGAGATAAGGATTAGATGGACTCCAGAACTCAGGAAATGAGGTGATGTCAAAACCACAGCAAATGTTGTTAGTGTGCATCTTGTGATTAATGCATATTTGGCAACAGTAAGACAACCGAGGAACACTGAACTGAGCGAGGAGCAAGGAGTTCAATTGTAAATTCATAAGGAAACAATTATTTAGTACTTTGAGGAGAAATCTCCTGACTGGGAGGCCCAGTGAAACAGGATATTTTTCAGATGTTTTACAATATAACCACCAACTGCTTATCTAACATAGTTGCTTATATAGGCACTTTTATGTCCCAGGGGTTGATTTTTATTAAAACTTTTTCTTTTGTTTATATGAAGGTTAAAACTTTTCCTCATGTCTTTATCATTTATTTTTGCTACTTTTGAAATGCATTTTATTCATAGATTTAGTTTTACCATTGTCCCAGACTTTAAATCCTAAAACACGAAAATCCGTAATAAAAATATGAATTATTACATTTTTAAAACAGAAATAATCTATACAAAGATTACACAACCTTTGTGAAAGGCACAGCAGTGTTGAGGACTGCAGTCGCTCTGGTACTGGCAGATTGTTCCAGACTGTCCTTTGGTTCTGTTCTGCGCACAAACACCCCACACACACAGCTGATGTCCACAACACTCCACGTCCTTGGTGCACTCCTAGAAGTAAATAATACAAATATATTTTAACAAAATGTTTTTGTGTGTGAGTATATATATATATATATATATATTTATATACATATACATATATATAAAGAAGGAAACACGAAGCAAAAAGAGCCATAAAAACTGAAAACTTTTTGAAGTTGAAGATCAAGGTAAATTGTACTTAATTTGTCTTCTGGAAAACAAGTAAGTATCTTCTGTTGCTTCCGAAGGGCAGTACTAAATTAAAATTTTTATACTTGGACATCTTCATCCTGTTCAAAGGCTCTTAATGCATCGTGTTTCACTTTTTTTTAATTATAGTTGTATTCGAGTCCCCCAATTGTCCTCAGTGTGAAAAGATGGATCTCCAAATTATACGGTCACAGCTGTCAAGGGTTCAAATATGCAAAAGATGCTGGAAAACTGAAGAATTTGCTGGACCTGAAGGATTTTTCAGAACATTGGCCAGTTTAACTGCTCAGGACAAACAAGGGACTCAAGAACAACCATCACAAGGTAACACAGTATTAAGAATCAAGGGTATGTAAACTTTTGAACGGGGTCATCATTTATAAATTTATAAACATTTTATGTAAAATATCTTATTTAGGACAGTATTCAATAAAAAATAACATGCATTTTGTATGATCCCTCTTATTTTGTTCTAATAATTATTATTTTGCAGATTTTTCAAGGTGTATGTAAACTTGACCACGACCGTATGTATAATTTCTTTTCTTTTTTTTTAACAAAAGATGAGCACAGACCATATTAGTCGTCTGGCACGGGATGCATTTGGAGGTGATGATCTCATAGAGGCAGAAGCTGTTGTCCCCACAGTCCTCGTCAATCATGCACTCCTGTGTGAACAAGAATGAAACTGACATAACATATTACAGAAACACTGATATTGCAGCTACAGTTCAGCAAAAATCCCAAGGACCCCTATTTATACAATAAACCCTGCTGGACTATATTTTAATGATTCGACATCAGATACATAACATAAAATTAAAAAATTCTGACAGTGGCGGGCAGTACTAGTGTGCTGCTTTTGTTCACCATTCACTTTCATTGTATGGAAAAGAGCAGCGTGGACATTCTGCTAAACATTTATTATAATCTACAGAAGAAAGAAACTCATAGAGGTTTGGAACAACATGAGGGTGAGTACGATGACAATATTTTTGTTCGTCTCATTTTTCTTTTAAGTATCCTACAGTATTGTCCCTAAAGTACTGTAATAGTAAGTCTTGTTTTGTACTTTAGGTCAAGACATTCCAACGAGGTGTTTCTCCTCCCAGACAGATATTCATCTGGGGGACTCAAAGAAACAACCACCTACCATTAACTGAAAAACACTTTTGTGTTGTCTGGAACATCCACCTCATCTACGCTTACAGCGATGAGTGAATAATGTAGTAACAAAAACAGTCCTTTGTGTGCTTGTACTTTCTTAGACGTTGGAAATTGATATGATGGAAATTATGACTCAACTTTATATCCTAAGGAAAAGGAGGGTAATATTTTGAACATTTCCACTCAGCTGAAAATATTTACAAATAAACTGAATAAAGAATAGCGAATAGTCTCCAACTGCCCTGCAGTTCAATGCAGACAAACAGGAGTCATTTTTAACAGTTAATGCCTGATGATCTCATCAGCGGTGTTATAATTAATTCCACATTTACAGATCCGGGGGTCCAGAAACCCATCTCAGCACTTCACTCCTGTGAGAGCCGTAACAGCGACCTACCACTACCACTGCCCTTCCCCCCAGAGTTACAATGCCTGGAGTCTAGACTAATGTGAGTGAGTCACGTGAAAAAAACTCTCAGCAATTCCTCACGAACAAAAAACAACTTTCCTTCTGGTTCTGTTCCAACAAGTTCTTCTGGAAGACAGAATACAAACTGAAAATGTGTAAAAAACATAAGACGACATTACAAAATTCATTCAATTTTAAAATGAATGAGTGAGATTTACGTATATATATGTACGTACCTTTATATATTCTAAGTGATATATAATGATTAAACATATTTACATACATTATACATATTCATTTATATCAATGTGGATATATGTATATATAAATAAATGTATTTATCCAGTACATATCTTGTATATCTAATTGTATATTTTAATAATTGTATTTAGTTATTAAATAATAAATATACAGTATATAAAATGAAAACCACCATATCAATTGCTATGTATCTATATCTATATATATTATTATTATTACTTTTTTGGTATTTAGTCCTGTAATACATTAAAATAAAGTATTGATTGTTGTTCAAATGTGGATTTTATTTTGCAAATAAATTACCAGCTGTCCATTACTACACTGACAATGCTTATCAACTGCGTGTGAGCTCAGATTTGCCACTGTGCAAAATGGGAGAGAAACCACTAAGAGCTGCCTCATGGCAACATGGCTGCTGGCACTAACTCTCGACCACACAATCCCAGTGCACCACTTTCCATGCATTTTTTCCAGCTGTTCTAATTTCACCATATATTGTCCTGGTGCCAGAAGACTGCATGAACAACAGCCTCTAATGGCATTGCCATCTGTAAAATTGTTGCAGAAATGCAAAGAGACCTTAAGTGTAATGTTTATATATTCAGGTTTTACCCTGGAATAGATATAATGGTAGCTGTCTGATGCATCTAATTTCAATCAAAAGCTATTAAACACAGTTAGTCTGTTATTCAAGAGAATTGAGAGTGTACTGTAGAAATGAAGGATGCTAAACATTACATTTAGTCTTGAAAACAAAGACATTATGGCCCGGTTTCACAGACAGAGCTTAGATTAAGCCAGGATTAGGCCTTAGTTCAATTAGGGCATTTAAGTAACTTTTATAAACGTTGTTGTGGAAATTTTAATAGTCATTGATCCCTAACAGATATCATAAGAGAGAGAACCTATTCAATGTGTAAAATATAGATGATTCAAAGAATGTCACATGTGTGTCTCTCACTTGTAGTGAGACAAGATTCTGTTTATGTACCTGGGGAAGCAGAAGGGGGAGACACTCCAGGGAGCAGACGAACAGGGACCTCTGACCTAGATGTCGGAAGGCCATTTGGTGCAGGGGGGCTTAGTCTATGGAAAACTACTGGGAGGAAGGCTCTGGGGGAAAGAAGGCCTTGAAACTTAGATAAAAGCTGGTTCAGTCTGTCTGGGGGGTGTCACTCTTCTGCACAGGGTAACAACTGTGTATTAGACTGCTCCTATTCTTGCAAGAATAAATACTTCTATTTTATAATTTGACTATGAGTGTCTCTTACGCAGTGATGTTTGTTTGAGATGAATTTTTGCCACAACAGTTTTGGTGTCAGAAGTGGGATTCCTTGGACGTGCCTCCTGGACCTGAGATCGGACGGTGTTTGGCCACCTGGACTAAGTAAGTTCCAGCTCTACCTCGTAAACTTGAGAGAGAGGGGCCGACCGATATCAGGGCCGGGAGAATCGACCACTGGAATCTAAAGAACCCGCAGGTGGCAACAGAAGCATCTCTGGTAAGAGACAGTTCAATTTATTTTCTTTTGGGTAAGTTAATTAAATTCAGTTTAATTGGGGAAAGAGTGAAATTGAACCATATTGGCTGAGGGCTGTTTCTGTGGTACGTAATCTGAGATTAATTGAGATCTATATATAGATCAAGAGGTTTCAAACAGATACGAGAGAAAATATCTGAGATTAATTGAGGTCTGTGACAGAACAAGAAATTTCAAGCAGATAAATAATCTGGGATTAAGTGAGAACTGTAACAGATCAAGAGATTTCAAACAGATAGGTACCCTGAAAATTAGTTGTTCCACCACGGAGCAAATTGTTTTTAGGTGCTGAGGCTAATTAGGGGGAACCAGAAAAGATTTTTTGGTAAACCATAATTAGGAGGGCACTAATAGTGCAACCCGACCGATTTGGGTTAAAAGAAAAATCGGGTCTGGGAGGGACGCCTTTCAGACCAAGAGAACGCGCGTTGAAGAGAAATCCACAGAGAACAGAAAACAGCCAGTATGGGGATGTCTCAAAAGCAAGCTTGCGAAATTTGATACACCGGTTTTCTGTAGAACTAGGAAAGTATGGGGGAAAAAATGTATGTTTTAGATATTGGAAAAACTGAGAAAATACCATGATTTTCCCAGGGAGGGAACACTGAGCACAAATAGACTAAGAGTGTGCGAGAATCAGTGGAACAGGGCAGCGGGACAAAAGGTTGTTGTGGCTGCGTTCAACATGTGTGTAAAAATGTGAACAGATAATGGATGCATGACATGGGATGTCTATAGAACTTAAATTTATATGACAAGGATTGAAGTAGCAAGAAGCAATAAGCCTGTCTGTGTGAAATAGAGGGAACTGAACTGTAAGTGAGACTTGGTGGAAGAGGGAAGTGAAAAAACAAAAGGTTGAGACATGTGTGTGTGGGGATTGTTCAAACAATCATGTACTGGTTAGATAATGAAGGAACTGGCATGTTTGAGAAAAGAAAGGAGAGGATAATGAAGGAACTGGCATGTTTGAGAAAAGAAAGGAGAGGATAATGAAGGAACTGGCATGTTTGAGAAAAGAAAGGAGAGGATAATGAAGGAACTGGCATGTAGGGAAAAGAAAGGAGAAATATAGTAGAAAACTATATGTGATGAAAATAGACATGGTCTGATAGAATTTATGGAAGTTTAAATGATATGAAAAGTTTTAGAATAAAATAAGGCATTGTATGATTGACAGGGATTAACATGATATGAAGAATGTTTTAAGCAGAATGGGGAACAATTCTAGATTTTGATAAAATAATGATTGAAATGATGATATATCTGTTTTATTTTATTAATGTTAAGAAAATAAGATTAAAGAAGCAAGTAGCTATAATGGTTGTCTGTGTAATTTACGGACTGAGTAATATAATCTGTTTTGGAGAAACAGTAGAGATAAGACTGAGACAATAATGTGATGGAAGGAAAAAAGGCTTCAAACCAGTTGTAATGAAAATAATGATGTACAAATTGTTACACTTTATGAAGAGTAACGGAACAGTCCGGGAAAATAAATGAGTAAATAAATAGTGAGACAGAAGAGAGCAAATGCTGTAAACAGCTCTGCTCTGAAGATCTCACTTTGAAGAGATTTGCAGATGATGTTTTGTAAAAGATAAGCTGGGATAACAGCAACAGTGCTTGTAGTTAGTGTTGTTGATGATAATACCAAATTAGTAAGGTAAAGACAGAAAACAAATTCGAATATTTTGAGCATTTTCTGTGCTGCTCATGAAATTATGTTCTGCCAATAATAATGATAAAGAGTATGATTTGGCTATTGTGATTTGAATCCGCCATTGGTGGATGGTCAAAGGAATACAGAGAACTGCTTATCAGTGGGTCTGTTTACATTCCTGAATGGGACACACACTGCTTCAAGGGCGTGTTAAGTTGAAGCCCTTTGGAAGCTCACAGTGATCAAACTGCAAGGTGTCTGATGCTGAAGTTGAGGCTGAAACAAATTCACTAGATGACAGAGAGTGTTTTAATGGTGGTCATCGGGACAATTTAATAGGTAACTGTAAATTTCCACCGAGAGGGGTTTTAAAAATGTGATAAAATGACAACACATTTCTGATAATAATGTATTGGTTTGAAAATAGATCAGTGTTTAAATGACGACAGTGACAATTTTTGGTCTGAGAAATAAGAGATAAAAAACAAGGTCAAAAGATTGATCTTAAAGTGAACCCTTTTGAAGAAAAGATCTATAATACTAATTTTTATAAGTGAATTGTGGAATACAGGTTGTAAAATGAATGACTGCAACAAATGTGAGTTGCAAAATATAGTAAAGGTAACT